TCCTGACTGAGGTCCCAGACTTTAATTCTGTGCAGAAAAAATGAAAAGGAAAAACATACACATTTTTCCCAATATTAGGTTGTTGTCAAATAGGCCACCAACCTTAAAACACTGCAAAACAATCTAGAAATAAGTAAACACCTGTTAAATTAAGTATATTTACCCCTAATTTGAGTAGGTAAAAAGAATGATTCGGCAATAGAATGAGATTCTTTCCTCTTAAAAAAAGATAATTAGATATTATGCACAATCCAACTGTTTTTTCTTATTTTTCTCATTTTGTGAAAAAGTGCAGCTAGTTTAAGAAATTAATATTTATTTAGATTTCAACTTTTTGCAGTGAAGGTTACTGAGATGAAGTGGATGTAGAGATAACGATAGTAAAGAAAAAAATAAAGTTGATAACTCAAAGTTCACTATAATAACAATCTGTCATTGGTATACTTCAGAACACCCAGACCCTCTACTGTACATAAGATGTTATGGACCTATTGAAGAGTGATGGCAGTGCCAAGCAAAAGTTGCCCAACCTAAATTATATTCCTTTTACAAATATAGACTTTTGCTGGGATTTTATGTCGCAGAACAGCAGAATGTAGCATGTATAGTCCAAATTAAGCCTGTTTCTCTGATAAAAGAAGAAAAAAAATGTATTAATCGTGCGGTTGGTGTATTATGTGTTCTGCAGATGCAGAAATCCACAGTTCAGTTACGAAAAAAAAAATCAGTCAATAGCACAACTACTAGCTTTGTATGCCAGAAATCAGCCAAACATAAGTTAAGTATCCTTGTTTAAAACAGCCGATAAGGCTTGAAAAGGAAATGGACAAATATGAGCCTCTAGGCACAAAAAGTCGCTAGAGTCGAAACCAAAATCTTGCCGCTGCAATCACAGACAGTTAGTTGACTTTACAATATATTGAGGAAGGCGAAAACATGTATAAAAAATACACTTCAAATATGTTTTCATTGTTTAAATATTAATGTACATCTACTTAAGAGTTCTTTGTGTAGGACTCTCTCAAACACTTTACAGGTTGGTGTTTTAAATGTGATTAACTGTTGAGATGTTCATAATTACCTTTACAAAGCCATGTTTTGTGTAACAATGTGGCATTTTATTGCTTTTCTCTGCATCACTAGTTATTGTGCGAGCTAGAGTCTGACCTGCAGTCCATGCTCCCAGTGACAGCGCTGCTGCCTCCTTTGATGGGGCTCACTGTGGTGACAATGTGATCGTGCTCATATCTGGTGAATCGGTTCACCAACAGGCGCTCATCCTCTGCCAGTTCCCAGAGCTCCAGGGCCCCTGCACAGCCAAACAAACCCAGATCATCCCAGCATCATCACACTGTGGTCCAGTGAAGCCTGGCCTTACCTGAATCTGAGGCAACCGCCACTACTTTTTCAGCCACCCACTTCACATCTGTGACACCAGCCTCAGTCTGCACACCAGCTTTGCAGAAGCCCTCGCTGGGGGCTTGCTCTGGTTCGCTGTAGATCCAAACAGATCCTTGCCAGTTCCTCCCAGAGAGGCTGGAGGCTCCCAGCAGCAGGGTCCCATCTGACGAGAAAGAAAACAAGAACAAATGTATCTAATAAAAATATATAGACCTCAGATCAGCCAGCTCTGTGCATATTGTATAAACACAACTGTTCCTCAATGAAAATGTAAACATTAAGAGCACACAGCACCACGTGCTGTCCTCCATTCGTCCAAGCTAAGAGTATTTGTACCTGCTCGGTACTGAGCCGCGCACAGGTGCTTCTCCATGCAGGCAGGGGCATTTGGAGGAATCTTCCACGGGTTTTCCTTAATCGTGCTGGTACCGACTGTATTTTTCATCCCAAAAGCAGTTACTGAATCCTTACTTTTCACAACCAATGCGCTTTTACCTTAGAGCAGCTTCTTTCTACACTAGCTAGCTAGCAGCAATGTCTACAGCTCCCTACTTTGTCTCCGTACGTAATTTATAAAACAAAAATCGCTTTACCCTAAAACGACAATAATTTTATAAATACAGTTCTAAAAATAACATTTTTTTTTTCAAATGAATGATGCAGTAGACTGATCACATGGAAGACAAACTTCCTGCTTCCTCTACGTCTCTTCTGGTTGGAGTTTGGAACCATTTATGCATTAGCGCCATCTGCTGGTCGTACGTACGGAGGAGGGTTAGGGCCACTGAAGAAATTAGAAAAAGTTAACTGATTTTTAAATATTATTTCAGTGTAATATGGGAAAATTCAGAATGCTGACTTTAATCTCAGAATTCTGACTTTAATCTCAGAATTCTGACTTTTTTCTCAGAATGCTGACTTTGATCTCAGAATTCTGACTTTTTTTCCCTCAGAATTCTGACTTTAATCTCAGAATTTTGGATCTTAATGTAGATGGGCACCATGAAGGAAGAGATGTGGGAGCACTCAGCTTCACTGACAAAGATGTGAGTTGTTTGGGGCCAGTAACACATTGGTGGAAAATTATGGAATTAGGTGACTTTTTACATATCAGAGCAACTATTTCATTAATGGAATACCAGAAGGTGATTAAAATAAGAGAGCTAGTTTAGTCTCTAAAACAGATATGGCTACGGCTTGATGCTAACATGTTTGTCAGCTGTCAGAATTCATTTAGAATTTTAAGATTAAAGTCAGAATTCTGAGAAAAAAGTCAGAATTCTGAGATTAAAGTCAGAATTGGCAGTAAAAAGTCAGAATTCTGAGATTAAAGTCAGAATTGGGAGTAAAAAGTCAGAATTCTTAGATTAGAGTCCGAATTGTGATTTTTTTCTCATATTATACTGGAATAAAATTAAAAAATCAGTCAACCTTTTTTCTATTTTTTCAGTGGCCCTAATCCAACCAACAGAGTAAATAAAATGATATTAACACATGGATACTGTGGCTCACTGGAATATATTAATTTATCTTGTTTTTGTTCGAAATATACTGATCTAGAACCCTATTCATGTGTTTTAGGCATTCTGTGTTCTAGTTTTTGCTGTATTTGTGTTAGTATATATATTTTTTTATTAAAAACAAATCCATAAAAAGAATTTCTGTCTTGGAAATCCCACATTTAATGAAAACAATTCAAGCATTTTTTAGCTTTGAACATTTTCAGGTTTATTCAACTTTATTTAGCCCAGTGATGTGGGCATTTTTTTCTATTGCAATAAAGGGTTTTTGACATGCTTTGAGAGTCTCATTTAGCACGATGCTCAAAATAAGTAAAGCTTTTCGGTAAACCATTTGAAAAAGTTTTACTGAAAGTCATTATTTTTAGCTTTTGTTCATGACATTTTTAACCTTCAAGGAATTTTGCCTTAGGATGCATTTACATTTTTTAGGTTTCAAAGGTCAGGGCACTTTCAAAGAACTTAATTAGATCTACTTTTGCCCCAAAAGAAACCCTGTAAGGTTTTTCAAACAAGACACATTTCTTTTTTCCTTATTGACTTTCTGGTTTTTGTACCTTTTATTTTTTAAGAACTATTTCTTCTGCCATTCTTAAAACCTCTCTGTTTCCCTTATGTTAGTTTGGTTGACAGCACCAAATCTAGGGAAGTTTTAGGTATGTGAAGCATCTGTGCAGGTTATATTTTTCAAAGTCTCTTGAGATGTTGTTAAGCTGCCATTTCAACATTGCATGGTGATCAGGAAAAGTATACCCTGGGCTGCTAGACATCACAGGGTATGTTCTCACTCTACTTCCCCAGTTTCTAAAAAACAGGGATGAAATTAAATTAGCATAAAAGCGAAGAGAGAAAATGGCAAAATGTGGGTTCAAGCTGAAGTTGAAATTTAAAGGGATTTTCATCAAAATAATTAATTAAAACAAAAAGAAACTAAGATTTAACCAAAGGGAACAGGTACAGTAGATGTAAGCATTTAAGGCAAAGGAAAGGAGGACTGACTATATAACCTGTAAGGGTCAACATTTTTTACATTGAGACTGATGTGTTTTTTAAGTTTAGATTGTTTTCCTCAATGACGAAATGTAAATAATTTATATACAAATGAATGTTTTTCAACTTTAAATAGTTGATAAAAAAAAAAGGAATATTCCTCAAACGTCATTAAGAATGCCGTTGTATACAGAAGAACTAGGACAGAATTTAACTGAAATAAGACAGGCTGGTATTAAAAAGGGTATAGGAACTTGGAAATTGCCACCTTGTGTTTTGCTTACATTCAAAAAAGCATTCAGCTTTTGCATCAGGTGGCCTGAGATGCTGGAAAATGCAACTTTAAAAATAAAAATCCAGCCTGATGTTCAAGTCTGAGATGTGAATTGTAGGATTGTGTTGCGACCAGTGGAACTCAATCAAGAAATGCTCACTATCAGAAGAGGTTTTTCTCTGAAGTTAATGTCTAGCAGAGTAAAAAAAAAAGTTTAACTTGGCAAATATTGACGTGGTAAAAGCATTTTTACAATGGTGGCAAAAGTAATCATATCTCTTTTTCCCCTTCTTTTTTCTACATTACACAAATGTATTATATTGTATTTGACAAGGATTTTATGTGACAAACCAACAAATAAATTGGGTAGTGGATGGACAGTGACCTGGAAATCTGAATTCAGATGTGTGCAGAAAATTTTAATAAAATAAATTTGTAAACCCAAAAAAAAAAAAAACTCCAACCAAAACTTAAGAATCGTTTTACTTCCACTTTGTTGTTGCACTACTTTGTGTTGGGTTACTGCACAGATAGATGCCTGCAGATATGTCTGAAGAATATAAATGTGGGTGAGTGACATAAAACTAACCGGAAGTAAGTTTGTGTACATTGTGGTATCAACATCTACATAGATTAACTTAGCTTATTAGATTTTTACTATTGCTTTTCGTGATATATGTTTGATGAAATATATGGAATGAAAAACATGTGATGTTTTGATTTTAGTTAACTGTGAGGAGACACATATTAAAATATAGGTGAATAATATTAATTTTTATTCGTTTTATTTTGAAAGCGAGCTAGCGGAAGTGGAAGTAAAACAGACGTTAGCTTCACAGGTCTGTCTGCCTGTCTAAAATCGATAAGTGATTGGTTTTCCAGCAGCTTTGGGAAATTGTGGGTCTCGATACCGTGCCCACCTAAAGGTAAGGACGCAGGGGGCTACAGAGGATGCTTGTATGCCGTGTGTCATCGATACCAGTTAATGGCCGCATTGGTTTGTATTTTGCCTCAATTTGGAGCGTCTGTCGCTCCAAAGCAGCCTTTGTCCAAAGTGTTTGATATTTCAGGCCAGCCGATGAGGGTAGCTAACGTTAGCTGACCTAAGCTGTGTAGCTGTCCACGCTGAGTGACACTCTGCGGACAGCTCCGTGGGTTAGCTGTCTGCTGATGTGGGCTCTCTGGACCACAGCCAGCTGCTACGTGACATTATAGGATGGAGGGGGGCTGTTACCTGGAGACACATCACAGCTCTAATCGGTCATTTAAGGTGACTTCAGACCGCTGGAATCTCACTTTTCGGCTTTAAACAGTTAAAGAGTTTAAGCAATTTTTAATAATTTGTCTACTTTTGATATCAGGGATATATGAATGTAAAACAACAAACATTTTTTTTGTCTTTAAATATTTTTTTTTCCAGTTTTATAGCTTTTATGAGATGTTGGCAGTCAGGGGCGGAGCTAGATGGGGGCCAGGGGTGGCCATGGACAACCTTAGCCAATCATTTTTCCTCCTCATACAGATGGTGGCAGCAGTAATACTCTCAAGTTGAATATTCAAAACATTAAAAAAAATTTTCTAGTTAATTATACACATCAATATACTACCATCAAAGATAAGTACAGAATTCATGCTATTTTTAGAACTAGATTTTTGTCTTATATGGGGTAAAGAGAAAATTATGTGTCTCTGCAGGTCATTGATAGCCTGACGTAGTCCGACTCAATTCTAGTCAGAATATGAGTCTGATACTGCTCCATAGAGCTGTGATTATGGGGCGTGTTTCGAACGAATCAGGAAAAAAAAGGCCTCTGCACTCAATTGGATAGATCTACAACCAATAAGAGCAACGGAGTGCGTGACGTAAGTTAAGCCACGCATAGTTGTTGTCAACAAAAATCAAAGCGTGCAGTTGCACGCCTATAATAAGAATATGAGACTTGATCGCGTTTCTCTGTTCCTCTTTTAAAATTAATTTGCTGTCGATATCTTCTAGAACAGACCTAATAGCAGAATCTACTCACCTCAACTCTCCAGCGGCAGCCATTATTGTTGTCACCCAAGCGCGCATTGGTCACGTGGTTGATTACGTTACTGTTTGTCATCTGTCCATCATCGTATAAAGCCCGCCCTGACAATATTGGATCGCCTGACAGTGGGCTTTAATACTCGCGCTACTATGGAGCAGAGCCAGACCGAACTTCCCCGACCTCAAACTTTGTGGGCGGGACTAAGTTCGGACTGGCACCCAGGCTAGGTCATTGAGGAGTCTTCAGTGAAATTTAAATATACACTCACCGGCCACTTTATTAGGTACCCCATGCTAGTAACGGGTTGGACCCCCTTTTGCCTTCAGAACTGCCTCAATTCTTTGTAGCATAGATTCAACAAGGTGCTGGAAGCATTCCTCAGGGAGTTTGGTCCATATTGACATGATGGCATCACCAAGTTGCCGCAGATTTGTTGGCTGCACATCCATGATGCGAATCTTCCGTTCCACCACATCCCAAAGATGCTCTATTGGATTGAGATCTGGTGACTGTGGAGGCCATTTGAGTACAGTGAACTCCTTGTCATGTTCAAGAAACCATTCGGAGATGATTCCAGCTTTATGACATGGCGCATTATCCTGCTGAAAGTAGCCATCCGAAGTTGGGTACATTGTGGTCATAAAGGGATGGACATGGTCAGCAACAATACTCAGGTAGGCTGGGGTGTTGCAACGATGCTCAATTGGTACCAAGGGGCCCAAAGAGTGCCAAGAAAATATTCCCCACACCATGACACCACCACCACCAACCTCAACCGTTGATACAAGGCAGGATGGATCCAAATTCTGACCCTACCATCCGAATGTCGCAGCAGAAATCGAGACTCATCAGACCAGGCAACGTTTTTCCAATCTTCTATTGTCCAATTTCGATGAGCTTGTGCAAATTGTAGCCTCAGTTTCCTGTTCTTAGCTGAAAGGAGTGGCACCCGGTGTGGTCTTCTGCTGCTGTAGCCCATCTGCCTCAAAGTTTGACGTACTGTGCATTTAGAGATGCTCTTCTGCCCACCTTGGTTGTAACGGGTGGTTATTTGAGTCACTGTTGCCCTTCTATCAGCTTGAACCAGTCTGGCCATTCTCCTCTGACCTCTAGCATCAACAAGGCATTTCCGCCCACAGAACTGCCGCTCACTGGATGTTTTTTCTTTTTCGGACCATTCTCTGTAAACCCTAGAGATGGTTGTGCGTGAAAATCCCAGTAGATCAGCAGTTTCTGAAATACTCAGACCAGCCCTTCTGGCACCAACAATCATGCCACGTTCAAAGTCACTCAAATCCCCTTTCTTCCCCATACTGATGCTCGGTTTGAACTGCAGGAGATTGTCTTGACCATGTCTACATGCCTAAATGCACTGAGTTGCCGCCATGTGATTGGCTGCTTAGAAATTAAGTGTTAACGAGCAGTTGGACAGGTGTACCTAATAAAGTGGCCGGTGAGTGTAAATAACAATTTAAATAAAAAATTATCAAATAATCAAATTATGTAGATATTACTGTTTGTAAATATCAATTTTATGCAGAATGTTTTTTGATGCAAGTAGGTAAGTAATGACAATGATGATTGATTTACCCCCCAAAAACTGAGTTTTATCCACTATACCTTTTATCTAGAAATTAGGGATGTTTAAATGTATGCGTCTATTTGTTAACAAAGGCTGTAGGAAAGTATAGTTTGTCTTTATTTAGAAAATATGGATGTTTTGCTCGTCAATTTTCCTGTTGGTACAGCGTAGATTAACCATGAGGTTCTGGTGCCTATCCGCTTTCGGCCATCCCTCAGAGTACATTGGTTATTGCCTGGCCACCCTTATAAAAATGTTCTAGCTACGCCTCTGTTGGCAGTCTCATGTTTTATGGCCCAGTTCCCTGTGTGTGTTTTATATAAATAGACTACATGCAAATAGAGACAGAGCTGTCAGCACCCCATTATAACAGAAAATTAAAATATTATTTATTAAAATTATTGTGAGATCAATAAAGCTTATCTAATCTAAAAGAAAATCTAGAAAATGATAACCACAGCATGAGCTCCACCCTCAAAGAAAATTGTGACATTAATTTTCCAGAAGTAAAAATGTTTAGAAATGTTTTTAACAAATTTCTAGAGTTGGTACCACCCACCAGTAGGTTTTAGTACAAAACTTACAAAAACTTGTATAATCTATTTTAATAGGAAGATGATTTGTTTCCCCCAACCCTTTTTTGTTCTGAAGGTATATTATGAAAGTTAACCAAAGCAAGAAATTGGAGTGACCTAAAAAAACTTTTCATTCATTAAACATAAAATGAAATATTTTAAATCTATACTTCACATTTGATGATTATGACGTAGAGATGAAGAAAAAACCCAAATTCATTGTCTCAGAAAATCTGAATATTTAGTATTGGACATAAGAATAAGTTGATTAATGCAAAGGTTTTCTGAGGGATGCTAAAGAAGCTTGTTGGTCAGAGTGCCGTATATAACTATATTTGTAGAAAGTTGTGTGGATAAAAAAACGTTTTTCAGGCAAATGTCCACCAGCAACAGGGATAACCTTTGTCTTGAGAGGATTTTCAAGCATCATCCATTCAAGAATTTGGGAAATCTTCAAAAGGACTGGACTGAGGCTTGAGTCAGAGCAACAGTAGCCATGGGTGAATCCTACACTTGGGCTGCAAGTCTTACATTGCTTTCATCAAACCTAACCCTATTGCTATTATGTGGACAAAAATATTCGTCTCTTCCATCAGGTTAATATGGCCTGGACCATAGCAGGTACCGCCACAATATTGCTATCAAAACGTCCAGCTTGATCACAAGATATATGTTATTACTTTTCTTAGCGTTTTGAGTTACCAAGGTGATGAGTTTTCGTTTCGGGGCATCCCTAGATTTCTGCCTGGTGATAAAATTAAATTTAGTTGAATTTAGTGTGATTATGTAGGGAAAATTCATACAAAAGTTATATAAAGGTTCTAAAAATTTTACAAGAACTGACAAATATGATTCATATTCAGAAGTACATATCAAATTATTTTTAAATTCATTGCACAACAATTTCAGTTTGATTGTATTACAAATGTACTGCAGCCATATTGGTAAAGAATGACATGTTACACATGATATCCACTGAGGTCCTGTTCTTATTCAGGTCTACAGTAGTGGTTTAAGTGGTTAAAATGTCATCTTTTTTAGTTAAAGTTGGTAACGTCAGTAGCTTCACGCTGCTTTAGAAGTTGAAAGTATTTTATAGTTGTTGTTGTTGTTAAAGGGAGGAGGATTTTTTTCTTTCTCTCTCACGTCAGATTAGCATTTATTAAAATAGAAAAAACATATAGAGTCTGTTCTTTGTATAACCTCATTATTCTGTCAGTCTTCAAAGTCCTGAATGCTGCCCATGATTGATTCGATATAAAATGGCTCCATTTGATCCTGAAGCGGTTGGATAAACTTAGTCCTTTATTGTTGTTTTTTTATTTTAGCTGCACTGCTGTGTCCAGATGTTGGAATGATTGGAGCTGATTTGTTTAAATGCAATTTATTCTTGATTGTAATTTCAACTTCATTAAGTTTTGAAGCATTACGTAAAACAAACAGTTGCTGTAACTTTTCTGAATTTTATTCTTGTACATGGATGATTCAAGGTGTTGCTTTTTATTGTGACTAATAAAATTCTCTTTTTTTTATCGTTGTTCAACTTTTAAGTATTTTCCAAATAATAAGATCTGATGTTTATTTATTTTTTGTGAGTTTTGGGAGGCTTGTACAGATAAATGCAGCTGCTCTTTTGCATGTTTGCATCATCTTTCCTTAAGTGCCTGGCTATGCTTGAGAGCTCACACCCATTGCATTTCCATCAAAATGCTTTGAAATGTACTTTTATTAATAAAATATTTTTTTCATCAAAAAATCTCCTGCTTTCTTTTTTTTAAGAATCCTTGTAACTGACATTGCACAATCCTGTTTTGTTTTTTCTCCACATATTTATTTTGAGAATATTCATCCTTCCCATCATAGCATCTCTTCCATTTGAGAGGATTCAGTCTGTTTGGTAAGGGAGAAGTCTTTCTCAATAACTTAAACAGAGCAGCATAGCCCAAAGGGCGCTTGAGGAGTATTTATTTTTTCTCTTAATTAGATTTTTTCCTAATTGTTCTTTAACTGCCTTGTAAGTTTGTTACAGACTTGTTTTTAACCAAGCCCTTAAACAATATGTTTAGATGGCCTCTTTGTTTGGTTTTCATGTTAAGAAAACACTCTGCTTCATTTTCTGAGGTCAGTTAATGAGCTTAGCTTTATGGGGTACTGGACTGAAAACGAGTAAATAGAAGTCTTCAAAGGATGACTTTGATGGACTTTAATGAAACTTGAAGGAATGGTGCCTAACACCTATATAAAGGAAGAAAAACAATGCATTAAAATATGCATTTTTGGAAGACAGCAGTTAATAATGGTGTTATAATGATATTAAAACAAAAAATGTACCCTCTTCAGTTTTCTCCTTTTTTTCCTTTTTAAACCTAATCTAAAAAGGTTCAGATTTTACATAAATTTCAACACCAGACAAAATATAAGGATATACAATATGTATTTTTTAATTATTTATTAAGAAAAACTTATCCAAAGCATCCAGACTTTGTGTGAAAAACCAGTTACCCTTTAGACCTAAAAACTTGACAACATAAGCTGCCATTAAGCATTTATTACCTGACAATGAGTCTCATCTTAGCACCCTGTGGATAGTTTTCAGCTTGTTTTTTTTATTTTATTTTATCCATTTTTATATTTTTTGGTGTTCTTTTGACCCTAAACTAGCTGAATATCCAAGTACACTTTGATACTGGCCTTTGTCCCTCAGGATGTTCTGCTTAAGAGCAGATTTTTCATCTCACCAGGTCCAGGAAAGCATCCAGCCAATTTAGGAGCAGAAGGCAGTGCTTGTTTGAGTTTTTTTTTTTTTTTTTTTTGTTTGCCGTCAAACCCTTCAATGTTTTATCATTATTGATTCATGAACTGACTTTAACTGTGGCAGGTGAGACCTGTTTTGCTTCAAATAATGCTAATTTGTGACCATCCTGTTGAATCATTACGGTGCTTTAGGAGTAATTTTGGTCAAAGATTATTGTCATCTGTATATTTCACATTTTTTTCCTCTGTATTCTAAAGAGAAGTATATTTCAGTCCATTTTAAAAAACAAAAACAAAAAACGTCTTCTTAAGCATTGTTTACATGCAGTGACATCAATACGGGTTTCTCTCGCTGATTTGTCGTGATTTCTTTATAAGGAGCACATCTTGCCTGTTTGTTACTTGATTGACGCTTGTCTTCTCAGGGGTTCGTCATGGCCTTGAAAAGAAGACGGGCGATGTCCCCTTCTAGCAGTGTGAGTGGAGGAGATTTTGACGATAGCCAGACTTCGTTAGTGTCTTCAATTGGGAGAAAGAGGAGAAGGACCTCAAACATTCCAACTGTGGATCCTGTAATTTTACACATTTCAGTCGCTGTTATTCTCTGAAAATGTGAAAATTGTACTAGAGTGCAGATTTCAGGACAAAGGTAGAGCTGGTGAATGGTTTGGATAATTCTCAGTCTTCTAAATGTTGCCTTTTCAGATTGCTGTGTGCCATGAGCTGTATAACACAATCAGAGATTACAAGGATGACCACGGCAGGATGCTGTGCGAGCTGTTCATCAGAGCCCCCAAACGAAGGTCAAAAGAAAATGATCAGCAAATCTGTTCTATATTTATGTATTGTTGACATTTGCAGTGGATTCAGCAAAGGTTTATTTTTTTACTCAGGAATCAGCCAGACTATTACCATGTGGTGTCTCAGCCCATTGACATGATGAAGATCCAGCAAAAATTAAAGATGGAGGAGTACGACGATGTCGATCAACTAACTAATGACTTTCAGCTTTTGTTCAACAATGCAAAGACTTATTATAAGGTGACACATTTGTCTGTGTTAAACGATTCCTAATATTGGTTAAGAGTAATGAGCTAAATTTTCTTTTACTGCAAACAGTCGGATAGTCCTGAATACAGAGCAGCCTGTAAGCTGTGGGACCTCTACCTGAGAACAAAGAATGAGTTTGTTCAACGAGGTGAATACGACGATGATGATGAAGATGGGTACGATGCACAAGAGAACCCTGGAGGCTCCACTGAAGATGAGGTGATGTCCATAGATATTATTACTATATATATATATATTTCTAGAAATATTGAACAATTAGTAAGATGTCTCAGTAAATGAGAGAATCCATTGCTTTACTTTTGTAAAATCAAAATCTCCAAACGCACATGTAGCACAGCAAATGAGACTTTGCGCCATCGTTTACATGTTTCACTGTAAATGGACTTTACACAAACCCTAACAAAGTTTTATGTCTTTAAAGGAGAACTTGTTTTTGTCTCCCATCATTTGCAGCAGGACTAAGGCAAATGTATTTCAATCATATTTGTGTACATACCTTGTCTTTTTTTTTTGTTTACATTTAGATTGCCGTAAATTCCTTTAGTTTTTATTTTACGTTTTTGTTCTTTATTTGAACCTCAAAATTTGGTGGGTTTTGTTGGGATTTACGTGCAAGGCAAACATAAAAGTTTTGCATAATAGTGAGTATAAATGGAAGTCATAAATTATTTAATCTTTTTAGATGGCCTTGTGTTTACTGGTTTCATCCAAGCTGGACATCCACGTTTGCTGTTTCTCTCTTAATTGTTTTGCGGCAAACAGAAAGCAAGCCCTCTTGTGACCCCCCGAAACAACAACGTCCTTCCTCTAATCTCACCACATTCCTTTTCTTGAGCTGTATAGCTATGGTTGAACTTCATTAAAAAGTTGTTTTCATTCTAAGAAAAAAGAAAGTGCTGATGACCTCTCTTTGAGACCTATGGGATGTCTGAAAGGGCTATATTAGTGAATAGGGCTGGTTACAAGCACACCACTCCATATTTTTATGCAGTTTATGTAATGCATAACTTTTCTTTAACTTCAGCCATGCACTGCTTTGTGTTCATTAAAACCAATTAGTTTGTGGTTGCAATGTAATCAAAGGAATGGCGGTAGGAATTTTTTTGCATCGCACCTTAATACTGTCAAGGTGGAGTATATGACCTTATCTGTAAGTATGCAAAACTGTTTCTTTCAAACTTCTGTGCTTAATTGTTAACATTAGAGTGCATCAGCGTGTTTGAAAGAAGTTCTTGAACAGCTCCTTGATGCTGTTGTATCATATACTGAGCCAAGTGGTCGTCTGGTCAGCGAACTCTTCCAGAAGCTTCCATCCAAAATGGTAAAAAAAAAAAATTTTCACAGGAAATACAAAGCTTTTAACTTTTGGACTTGGGTTGGATTTTCAGTCTTCTCTTTTCTTTTTAGCAATATCCAGATTATTATGCCGTCATTAAAGAACCGATAGATCTGAAAATCATTGCCCAGAAAATCCAGGTACTGTTTATTGGTCTATTTATATTTGATATTTATATTAATTGAATAACAATCCCAAATAAATGCCGTTGCCATTTATTTTAGCTGGGCAATTATCGGAGTGTCAGTGCCATGGCTAAAGATGTAGACCTGATGGTGAAGAATGCAAGAACCTACAACGAGCCTGGTTCCCAAGTTTTTAAGGCAAGCCTTTAACTTGGAAGTGCCTTATAGCATGCTGTTTCTGGTATTTTATCTAACCATCATCAATGTGCTATCGGGATGCAGGATGCCAACACTATTAAAAAGGTCTTTGCACAAAAGAAATCAGAGATGGAACATGGAGAGCCGATCAAGTCCAGCATCCGCATCAGGTAATGAAGCATCGACTCATGCTGGTGTTAGGATGTTATTTGAGTTGATCTGTGCTGTTTAACATTTTCTGACTTTGATAGGAATAAAAGGTCTGTCCAAGGAGATCGCCTCTCCGCCATCACTATGGCTCTTCAGTATGAAAGTGATGACGAAGGCATACTTTCTGGTACATATGCACCTAATTATTTGAACAGACAGACATGATGTTACCAGACACTAGCATTACATAGGGAGCAGTAAGCGTTATTATTTTACTTCATAGATCTCTCCTTATCTTCCTGCATTTATCAGGCACTGTTCACTATTATGAGGGTGAATCTGAAGCAGAGAGTATGACATCGAACATGGACATGAGTAATCCCATCTTCCAGCTTTATGAAGCTGTGCGAGGAGCCAGGAACAGTCAGGGCCAGTTGATCTCTGAGCCCTTCCTGCAGCTGCCCTCCAGGAAGGACTACCCTGACTATTACCAGCAGATCACTCAGCCGCTCTGCCTTCATCAGATCAAGTAGGATGAAATTCATGCTGATCTGTTTTTATGTCGTCTTCTGTAAACTGTATTTTTACAGGGTTCCAGTACACCCTGGATGATTTGCGTATGTTCCTGATATCCCCCTGTTTAAAGATTTCCCTCATCTTATACCCACGTGAAAACATTAACCTACCCCCAGTCACATTTTAAAGAATGTCCCCAGTGGTCGCTGTCTAGAACACTGAGGGGAAGGGCTAGTCGTTTGGATGAATGATGGGGGTTTTAGGATATGGTAGCTAGCTTAGACATATTGAAGCACAGACAATTAACAATAATAACGCTATGTGGTCATAAAGCTTGTAGCGTGGCATTGGTGTGTGCTAGCATATACGGTTTGAAAGAATTGAAAAAATTACACTGCAGTACCGTTCACCCATTAATGGCAGAAGTAAGATGACTTCAGGACAAATATTGCAGAACTAAACAATCACATGAAAATGTATAAAGATTCTCCATGATATTAAAGTAGCTTCCAATAGGCTGAGTTTGTATGAGAAAAGTTGATCTCTTCTATCTGTTCTTCTTTCACGCTCTCACTCATTTGATTTTCTAGTCAATTATATTACGATTTTAGTTTTACCTGTTTGATATTTTTTCAGTATTTGATATAGATTTATTCTGTTTGTCCTGCCAGTATCCTCTGTCTTTCTTTGTCACCACACACTCACTATGCGACCCATAATACTCTCCAGGAACAAGATGAAGAACAATGAGTATGAGAGCGTTGAGCATATTGACTCAGATCTGACGTTGATGTTTGAGAATGCCAAACGCTACAATATTCCTCACTCTTCCATCTATAAGCGGGTGCTCAAGCTTCAGCACATCCAGCAGGTCAGTTCAGCACATTTTCTCATGTTCTCATTTTTGCTTTGCAGGAGCATCATCACATCACACAGACACTTCAGAATTAGCTGTTTTCAGACACATCATCTTTATTTTGGTTTAAAAATTATAGCAAAGGAATAAAAGTAGTAGCTTAGCAAATGTATTAATACAGCTTAACTTTTGAACTGTGTAACACATTAGTCAGACAATTGGACTGATTTGAAAAGATTTTAATAGGATAGACCAGCTCTAAACAGTGCAGAAGTGTGCAATGGAGGGTAAGGGCAAATTTTTGGGTCAATATTTTGGGTGTTTTCCCACATTACTAATTTTACATAGAGCAATAATTGTGCCTTCTTTCTGCAATATAGCCTCTTCTGGGATTAGACTGCATCTTATACTAGCCATCTCACATTAACCTCTTACACCCTCAGGGGGTATAAATAAATTTCTGCCTGACAAAAACACACAAAAGTAAATCACTTATAGCCTCACAGCTATTAGATTTAAGAAGAAACTTTTGGTACCTCTGTAAAGGTAAGATGTCATAGAATGGTTTTCTGGTGTCAGCACCATTGTAGCTTTGACCCTGCCTGAAATATTAGGGACAAAATACAAAATATTTTGCATTTTTTGAACCTCGCCAAAATTTTCTTTGAAATAAACATTGCAAAACACTACCAAAATATTATTTATAGCACAAAAAAGTAGTACAGACTTTTAAATCTAAATGTTGTGTAAAAATATACCAAATTTGGACTCAATCAGATGAATCATATTTATTTTAGAATGGTATTAGTGAGAAATTTCTTAGGCGGAGAGGCCATTTTGGCACATTTATCCAAAAATATCACCAAACTGTGCCAAATGTGTTTTTTACATCAATACTGGGGGTTTGTTAAAATTACGAGGTCACGTGGCAGCTGGACCCACCGGTGGGTCCGTAGGGCTCTAGGGGTTAATTGTTAGCGCGATCTTTATTGTAGACAAAAGGTCTTCACTAAAGTAAACTTGGTCCAGAGTTTGTCTGTTCTCACAAAGTACCGTATTTTCACGACCATAAGGCGCACCGGACTAAAAGGCGCACTCTCAGTTATGTGTCCCATTTCTGTATTTAACACACACATAAGGCGCACCGGACTATAGGGCGCGTTTTTATATACCGGTACATGTCCTCTACTACCTTTAAATACCTCTACTGCGTATTTAAAAATACAGCGGGCCCAAAACTGAGTATGACTGTGCTTTATTCATGTATTTATTACAAACTATTAATCAAACCTGGGTGCTGGCCGTGAGACAGACACATCGCAGATGACACAGCGCTGTGGTCACTCCTAAATTAACTTAAAATCCTGAAACCTGCCGACGGAATATGTTCGCTTTTATTACCGGTATCCTGGTGCCTGCAGCTAAAATTATTTAGATGAAAAACACCTGCCAGCAGCCGCGGTGAACCTGGAGGCTGCTGATGAAGAGATTTCTGCTGTCGGTGCACCGCTGGTATGTGGGGGTCTGAGCGCCTCCGACAGAAATAGATAATCTGGATGAACTGACTGCAATTATTAAGTTTTCAGGTGGACTTTCTCACTTAAAAACATATTAAAACTACTTTATTCCCACTGATCACAGCAAATATAGCTGCAAGATTTAGATTATTTAGATGAAAAAACACCTGCCAGCCACTGCGGTGAAGAGGAGGAGACCCGCCCAGAGGCTGCTGTTGAATTAAGTTTTCAGGAAGAAAAATAGAGCGGGAGCAAAACTGAGTATGATTGTGCTTTATTAATGTATTTATTACAGAGTAGTAATCAAACCCATCAAAGTCATCAGCCTCTGTTTCTGAATTAAACAGCTGCGCTAAATCAGACATGCCAGTTTCCCATCTTCGCTGTCAGTCACTTTCCGTGCAGCGCGGCTCCTCAGAAATAATGCCTGCTTTTGCGAAAGCTTGAACAACAGAGCCAGCAGACACGTTAGTCCAAGCATCTACAATCCATCCGCAAACGGTGGCGTAACTTGCCCGGCGCTGCGTTCCACTTATCCTGAAACTATGGTCTCTGTCTGTCATCCATCGCTCCCACGCCGCTCGCAGCCTTACTTTGAACGGCCGCTTCACACCGATGTCGAGCGGTTGAAGTTCCTTTGTCAGACCTCCCGGGATAACGGCGAGCACAGCGTTCATTTGATTCACCATGTTTTTCTCATCAGCTGTGAGATGGGCACGCATGGAGTCACAGATTAACTGCGTTGGTGATGCGTGGAAAAAAACACCTGGTCTCCTCACATACACCTGCCTCAGCCACGCTTTCATCATCTCCTCATCCATCCAGCCCTTGTCTTTGCGTTAATATCATATGTCATCAGAGCGATGTGTCTGTCTCGCTGTCAGCTCCCAGATCAGCTTCTCTGATTGGTTGATGCGGCGCGTCCAGCAGCAAAACTTCAATTTTTCCATCTCGAGCAGCAGCAGCGCGTTGGCGGTGCGTCAGATGCTTAAAGGCTGCGGGACCTTTTGCTGCACCTATACGCGTGTCAACCATTGACTTTGCATGTAAACTCGCTGCTTCTGCTGCACCTGCTGGGCCCGGTTCACACCGATGTCGAGCGGTTGAACAGCGAGCACAGCGTTAATTTGTTTCCCCATGTTTTTCACATCAGCTGTGAGATGGGCACGCACGGAGTCACATATTAACAGCGATGGTGATGAGTGGAAAAAAAAACACCTGGTCTCCTTACATTCAGCCACTCTTTCATCATCTCCTCAATGAGGTGGTCTCAAAAGTCGCAGTTACAACACACATAGGGCGCACCGTACCAAAGGGCGCACCGCACATTTTGAGGGAAAAAAAAGACGTTTAAGTGCGCCTTATAGTCGTGAAAATACGGTACATAAAATTTTCTTTCTTTTTCTCCCCTTAGTTTTATTTCAAAAAGACCAGATTTGTTGAGTTAATGATTAGTTGTTGTCCTGTGGACAGGATTCTCCATCAGAAACTGGAGAACCATCAGAGTTACCAATGGCCAATTGGCCCCCTCTCTATCAGTTAGGCAATATTAGGGTAGGTGTGCAGTTTTGCTTTACTCTTCGCTTTCTCAGGTGATGGATATAACAGTCATCAAAGCTTTATAATTTCCCTTCCACTTCATGAATATGTATTACTTAATGTTGTTGTATCATATAAAACCCCAGTAAAATACATTAAGGCTTGAAGTTATGTGACAAAATATAAAAATGTCCAAAGACCAGAGTGTTTTCCAAGGCAATGGATCGCTTTGTTTGCTTTCTAGATGAAGAGAAAGGAGCTTTTACAGAGAGCCGATGATGATGGTGACAGCATGCTCTCCTCTGCCACCTCTGACACCAGCAGCACAAAAAGAAAAAGGTAAATGTTGCTTTCTGAACCTTCTACTTTGCTATTCAAGTTTACAAAGAGAGTTGAACTTGTGAGAGTGGCCTTTTGGATTTCAGCCACAAGAAGAATACGAAGAAAAACCGAATGAAAGCTCTTCTAGCCTCAGTTAGTGAAGCGCGAGAAGCCGGTACCGGCCGTAGACTCTGTGACCTCTTCATGCTGAAGCCATCTAAGAAGGACTACCCTGATTACTACAAAGTCATCCTGGAACCTATGGACCTCAGAACCATCGACCAGAACATCCGCTCAGACAGGTATATGACGGAGGATGCAATGGTGGAAGATATGAAGCTGATGTTCCGGAATGCCAGACATTATAATGAAGAAGGCTCCCAGGTAACATTCAGGTTTAATGTCTATTCATGGTTGCTTTTATAGTGGTTTTAATGAGTTATTTTTCCGGGAAATTCCCAAATACTAAGAGTAAATGGTTTTCTTAATCTCATCAGCATTATTATAACCTTAAAGACATCAGAGTGCTCTTCTTTGTTGGTTCTGTAGGTCTACAACGATGCAGACATCCTTGAGAAGATCATGGAAGACAGACGCAGAGATCTTGGGCCAGCAACTGACGATGATGATATTATGTCTCCAAAATTAAAAATAAGTGTGTCTTTCACTGTTTTGATATAAAATAATCCACTAAGTTTACTTTTTAGTTATTATTCACCTGCATTTGCTTTCATTTCAGGAAAGAACAGCCTCTCTCTTAAAAAGTCCAAGTATTTGACACCCTTACAGCAGAAACTAAATGAGCTTTACGAAGCTGTAAAAAACTACACAGATAAACGAGGCCGTCGGCTCAGCACAATTTTCTTGCGGCTTCCATCCCGTGCCGAGCTGCCAGATTACTACATCGCCATCAAGAAACCTGTAGATATGGAAAAGATCAAGAGTCACATGGTGGCTAACAAGTACCAGGACGTGGATGCACTTGTTGAAGACTTTGTGCTCATGTTCAATAATGCCTGCACCTACAATGAGCCTGAGTCCTTGATTTACCGCGACGCTCTGTTGCTGCACAGAGTGTTGTTAGAGACAAGGCGTGAACTGGAAGGAGGAGAGGAGAATCATATTCCTGATGTGCCCCGCCTCATCCAGGAACTCATCCGGAGTCTCTTTGTGTCTGTGCTTGGTCATCAAGATGATGAAGGGCGTTGTTACAGCGATTCTCTTGCAGAGATTCCTGCTGAAGATCTAGCAAACCCAGAGAAACTAGCGCTCAATTTTGAGATCATTAGGAAAAATGTGGAAAAGGGCCGTTACAAGAGGTTGGATGTGTTTCAGGACCATATGTTTGACGTTCTGGAAAAGGCCAGGCGTTTAAATAGGTCAGCTATTGTTGCAAATCCACCATTTTGGGTTTTTAAAGAAGTCCAAGGTTAATTTTACACAGCCCATTTTTTACAGGACAGACTCAGAGATCTTTGAAGATGCAGTGGAGCTGCAGCAGTTTTTCATCCGTATCAGAGATGAACTTTGTAAAAATGGAGAGATCCTGATGTCCCCTGCCCTTAGTTACACTTCCAAGCATTTGCATAGCGATGTGGAAAAGGAGAAGAAGGAAAAGCTTCCCAAAGAGATGGAGGAGGACAAAATCAAGAGAGAGGAGGAGAAAAGGGGTAAGAATTTGAGCCTCCTCAATTCCAGTTCTTTAATCTCAATTAAGATTTATTTCGAATAATGTTTTAACTTCTGTTTTTTCCATAGAGGCAGAAAAGAGGGAAGACTTTGTTGGAGGCTCATGGCAAGTTCAGCGTACGTACAGTCAGGATTGCAGCTTTAAGGACAGCATGTACCATGTGGGAGACTATGTTTATGTGGAGCCTGCAGAGCCCAACCTCCAGCCGCATATAATTTACATTGAACGCCTTTGGGAAGATGACACAGGTGAGACTCTCTTTGAAGTTCATAATCTGAGTATGGTATTTATAGAGCATAAGATGCAATGGCCTTTCACTCTTCTGTCCAAGACATTGGCAATTTAGTCTAAATATATTTCTTTAATGAAATGGCCATTGTCATCACAGTATTAACCTGTGCAATATCACAAAACTACTTGGATGCCATATTTGACATGGTTTGAAGTAGAACTCCTAGGAATTACTGAGACATCAATGAATCGACCAAAATACCACTTTGTGTATGATTTTGATGGAATAGAGTTATAGCAAATCTAAAAGGTCAGAAAAGTTTATTTTGCATTATATATATAAACCCAGCTTGATCTGAATGGTTTCCCCTCTATGTCTCATGATTGGATTCAACTATGCCAACAAACACATAAAATAGAAAGAATTGACCAAAAGCATAGCAACAGAGAACTGTTGGGTGGTGGAGACTTTGTCTCAGCAGTAACGAATCATGCTTCTCCTTCTCACAATCCAGTAATTTATCCGGGTTTAGGGGATGAACCTCAATTCTAGTTAAAGGGACTCCTAATGCTGCAGCCCACGTAGAAAGTTTGGACAATTCCTTTTTCAGGCTACATGAGAACCATTTTAGTGCTGATTAATTCCTTGTCCATCATGTCTGTGCACCAGGGCTCAAGGAAAGGAACTTGACTTACCCTCTGAGTCCTAACCTTGACCAATCAAAGAGTACTTCTGATGCATCAGAGTGGAGAGACTAAAAGTCAACATGTCTGTTTCTGACCTCCTGAAATTTCACTAATTCATATAAACTTTCTCTAATTTTGTGGAAAGCCTACCCAGATGACTTGAAGCTATATTGCTGCTAACTGTGGATAAGCTCCATATTAAAGCCCTAATATTAACCGAGGAATGTTTTTAGATGCAATGTGTGAGGAAAGGGTTGTTTTTTAAATTGCTTGGCATTGTAGTGTAAGATGAACTCTACCAGAAATCCTTGACTTTGTCTTTTTAAAATTGACCTTGGCCTGTCTGTTCTCTCGAAACTCTTAAACTCACAGGGGAGAAGTGGCTGTATGGCTGCTGGTTCTACAGGCCCAATGAGACATTTCATCTCGCAACAAGAAAATTCTTGGAGAAAGAAGTTTTTAAGAGCGACTATTACAACAAAGCGCCCATCAGCAAAATTCTGGGGAAGTGTGTGGTTATGTTTGTGAAGGTATAGGTTTGCCATATCAATTTATATTGAGTCCTTTTTGTTGTTTGGAATTTCTTATTTGTCTTTTTTGTGTTCACTCAACATTTCTGGGGTTTAAGGAATACTTTAAGCTTTCCCCAGAAGGATTCAGGCCAGAGGATGTCTTCGTCTGCGAGTCTCGCTACTCTGCCAAGTCCAAGTCCTTCAAGAAGATCAAGATGTGGGCCATGCCCCTCAGCTCGGTTCGATTTGTTCCCAGAGACGTACCCCTTCCTGTTGTCCGAGTGGCGTCCATGTTTGTCACCAAACAAGATGACAAGCCACCAGAGATTATAGATGAAAGCAAAATTACAGATTGTATCATTGACAAAGTAGGTAGCAACAAATGTTGTGATTTAAACAAAGAGCTTCTATTTAATCATCACTGCCAACAAACCACTTAATGTTTACAGGAGAGGGAGGATGTTCCACTGGATGTGACCAACGGAGAACCAGGCTGTCAGTACTATGAGCAGCTCTGTTATAACAACCTGTGGCTCAAAGTGGGAGACTGTGTTTACATTGCTTCTCATGGGCTAGTGCGCCACCGTGTTGGCAGGTAGAGTAAAATGATTTAATGATAAGGAGGACATTTCTCTTTTGGCAGGGTTGGAATAGCCTTTTATTCTTTAAAGCAAAAAGGGATTTAATTGTATCTATTTGAAGGCTTTTGGACTAACAAGGGGAAGTCGGAATAGGGTTTAATGTACCCAGGCAATGCCAGAATCACCCCATTACCATCTTCATTGCTCATCTTGGTGCTGATAGAAGCACCCGGAGAGATGGGAAGAATTTCAGCCCAAATTTGGCTTATTTTGGGTCAGTGGTCATGATTCCAAGTTGAGAAAGAGTCTGGGCAGAAAATGGCAGGCAGGAGAGAGTTCTCAGAGAAAGGCTGCTGCCCTGGAACATTTCACTAAATGATATACCTGAGTCTGTGCTATTGCATCTTTTGTTAAACTAGCACAGCGTTGTGGAAGAATACCACTATTACTGAAACATAGCGGTTTTGTGGTGATATAATATGGAGTTGCTTGCTGCTTTAGGACAAAGATGACCGGACATAATTGCTGGAATACAGATCAGTTCTGCTCTGTCCGATTTCTTTATGTGGCTGAAATAACAACACTATCTGTCTTTGATAAACTTTAGTCTGATCTAAATAAGATCTGTTTGATTGCTTGGTTGGAATTCAAAGCAGAAATATTGCAGTAAATAATTAAAAGCTGTATGTATTCTTGTGTTTTTTCTTAATACAAGAATTGAGAAGATGTGGATGCGAGATGAAGCAGGCTACTTCTTTGGCCCCATCTTCATCCATCCTGAAGAGACAGAGCATGAACCTACTAAGATGTTCTACAAGAAGGAAATGTTCCTCAGCAACTTGGAGGAGGCTTGCCCCATGACCTGCATCATAGGTGCTCTTAATTGATTTACACTGAATTAAAATCCTCATGCCATAAAGAGGAATATTCTATAGTTGGAAACTAAAATGATAAGAGCAATGAAATACCTTTGATCACACAGGAAAGTGCATTGTGGCGTCATTCAAAGAATACTTGTCATGTCGGCCCACTGAAGTGCCTGAAGAGAACGTTCTCCTCTGTGAGAGTCGCTACATTGAGAGTGAAAAACAGATGAAGAAGTTTAAGGGCCTTAAGCGTTTTTCCCTCTCTGGGAAAGTGGTAGAAGATGAAATCTACTATTTTAGGTAAAAAGCTTTTTGTAGATACATTTTCCCCATATATGTTAGATGGCATTTCTTGTATCTGTTTTCTATCATTATCATATAAAATAAGAAAAAGAAAAGGGTAAAGTAAAGAGGTAAATTTGTTTATTTTCCCTCTTCAGGAAACTCATAGTTCCCCAGAAAGAACCATCACCTCTACTGGACAGGAAAATTGAGGAGCTTGAGGCTAAATTTGCTGACATGACAGATGAAGAGCTAGAGGATCTTGGGGATGATGATGGCGAGCTGGGGGATCATTCCCTTCCTCGGATGCAGTCTTCTATGAATATTGACATGGATATCATGTCATATACCCCTCCACAGGTCAGCGGGCATTTATCGATCCTTCAGCCTCTCATTTCTTGTCTTTAAAGCTTTAGCATTTTTAGCTCTTGTAATTGTTTGGTTACAGTCAACTCCTAAATCCATGAAGGGGCTTGTAAAGAAAGAGGCTTCGAAACGGAAAATCAACATGAGTGGTTACATCCTGTTCAGCAGTGAGATGCGAGCTGTCATCAAAGCTCAGCACCCAGACTTCTCCTTTGGGGATTTAAGCCGTCTTGTTGGTACAGAGTGGAGGAACCTGGACAGCTCCAGGAAAGCAGAGTATGAAGGTAAGAACCCCGACTTTATACTATTTATTTTAGATTACACCATGATAATGCATTCGGGGCCATTCATCTCTTTCTCATTTTATCAAATTATAACCGCAACTTGCAGTTTATTTTGGGGGAATTGGACACAATAACATCATTGTGAGGGGAAAAAAGGTCAGAGGTGGTATAGGAAAGCTGGCGTTGGACTTCTCCTGCTCTGAGCAAACCTGGTATGTTTGGAAAAATGTCAAGAAGAAACTAATTGTTTGACAAAACTTCATAAAGGGTCACTTAGACCTCGGCTAAATGCATGTAAAAGATACAGCAACAACGTGGAGGACTGTGATCTAGTTAAATTAACACCAAATCTGGACTCCTTAGCCTACAATCAAAATAACCTGAGCATGAAATTCACAGGGAAACATGATGGTGTAATCATGCTGTGGGGCTGGGTTTCTTTCATAGGTACTGAAAACTGTACCGAGTTATGGGGACAAGGATGGAGCTAAATACAGTAAAAGATTTTATAGGCTGCAAAAATCTTCTGAATAAAGTTTCATCAGAATGGCCACCCAACAATTCCATATCCAGACTTAAATTCAGTTGAAGATCATTAAGTGCACCTGAAATTGCATTTAGTAGGTTTCATACTGACCTTGATCTAATCTGATAAAACCTTTTTACTGAAATATATCACTCTTAATTTACAAATCTGGAGCCAATATACCCTTTCCGTTAAAAAAAGTATTTGTTTAGTGGTGTTGAATACATGCATGTTACATTTTAGATTTTCTGAAAGTGATGCAAATATGTGAGTAGCGTCATTTACTTTGGATACTTTTGCAGGGCACTGAACTTCTGGTGCATTTCTCATTAACTGTCAAATTTTTTTTTACTGCAGAGCGAGCAGCTAAAGTGGCCGAGCAACAGGAACGTGACAGGGGCCATCATCAGACATCCCCAAGAGCAGGTACCCCAGTAGGGGCACTGATGGGGGTAGCGCCTCCCTCCACCCCTATGGGGATGCTAAATCCCAGCATGACACCTGTGTCAGGTAACCCCTCATAGATGCAGATTGATCCCTAGTGCACCCTTAAGACGGGAAAAAGGAGGTAAACTGCTGACATTAAACACATTTTTGTCTCCTTACAATGAAATGCAGTGTCTGGATTTTTCTTTTTTAACATATGATCTAACACTGTATCACCTCATTCACAGGAACATAACAGGGATCATGTACATCACGCTTGCTTTAACACTAGAACTCCCAAGGCCGTCATTTTGACGGTTCTGAGATTTTAAAGGGGAAAGAACTTTATTTACATTAATCATATGTTGCTCATGTAAAAAATAAATATGGTTATTTTACTTCCATCTCCCTCAGCCGTCTTTTTGACGGCTCTATTAGTTGCATTGTCAATTCTTCCCGCAATTTATTGACATTCCGTACCGTTGCCTAGCAACCAGCATTCTACCTAGAACCCTATGTTAATACAGAAAAATTGCTTTCAGAAAAAATCTAACTGCGAAACAAGCCTTAGAAATGCTTCAAAATATTGTTGATAGCGATTCAGGCGGAGAGGGAGAGACCGGTGAGGGGGACTGGGTAGGAAGCAGTTCATATTCTGAGAGCAAGTCCGAGAATGATCGCCCACCACCGGCAAAACGCAGACATATCAGTGACCCATCAGACAATGGGGAAACTTTTGTTCAAGGCTTGGATAGCACTGCCCACACCTCAGCTGGTACACTCAGCGGCCCAAAAGCCAAACCAGAGCCCGTAGTCTGCTAAAATCACACACAGGTTGGCAAGGATGTATCGGATCAGATAATTAGAAAGTATTCTTTAAAAGCTCCAACGCGAAGGTGGCTTGTGGCTGTATTTTACGATCTCCGGGACATAGCAGCTAAAAACACGTTGTTTTTGTGCGGGAGCTCTTTGAACATCACCGTCTCAAGCAGAGATTTTATCCTTGAACTGGTAAAATCACATGAGCTCCGCAGGTTACCAGCCCCGCCTCCTCTGAAGGTCAGCTTTGGCGAGGCAAAGAAAACAGTGCAGGTGTGTCAGCGATGTTAAAAAAACTCTTATATTATGCTTCTCATAAATGTGAAAAGGTGGTGTGCAGGAAATATTTGGGGGGAATCAATCAATTCCTTTTAATAAAATTGTGATTTCAAACTTTGAACCTGTGTAGTAAAACAGTCTTATTTTACTGATTTATTTGTAATCAAAATTTAGACCACAAATGATAGTAGCATACAATACAGCCTTTAAAATATATATTAGACCTATTTTAAGGTTTACATATCCACAGTGGGTTTATATTGCACACTAGAAGCATTTCAGTTGATGACATCATCAGTACTCATGCGTTTCATTGGGAAAAATGTCACCCTTCAAATTGACGGCCAGCGGGAGTTCTAGAAGTATCAGAATTCTGGCAGTCCTAGTGTTTATGTAGTGCATGCACTTCAAATAGTTCTATTTTTAATTTGCATCTTTAAGTCTTTTATCTCTTTTGGTGTCTGTTATTGCACCCTGATCATTATCTTAATTCTGATGACCTATCATCACATGCTTGGTAGTAATTGCATGTTTGACCAATGCATGTTTTTGTCTTGTTTTAATTCTCTCCCTTCCTGAGAAGGTATGATGGGTGTATATAGGACAGCTATGATGGGCCATATTGAAGGCATGGTTAGTATGGCTGATATACCACCACATCACATTGGGATGCCTGTCTCCCCCCATCATGTACTGCCCCTTATTCCTGAGCTCCACGGAATGCAGTCCTTTGGTAAGAGTGCTGCCATAACCACCCCCCATCTGCCATGCAGTTGCTTCTTGTCTACCAATCTGACTCGCTGGAGGGGCTACCTGTATCACTGGGCTGGGATTCCTTTTGGTGGTTTTTCACCACAGATATATACACATCCCTGACATTATGGGTCATTACCTGACATTACCAGTTTTTAATTGAAATTAAATTTAATAGTTGCTAATTGTATTTTAAATTGGTAGAAATAATTAAGAAAGTGTTAAAGAGAGATCCTCTACTGCTTGATGGTCCTTTAATATCCCCACAGGTGTTACTGGCACGGGAATTGGGGGAGCAGCAGGAAATGTTCACGGATCACAGGTATTCACTGAAAGCAGCAATAATGCATTATGTTGGATAGAACAAATAAAAAATACGAAATTAAAGTTTCTTTTTAAATAGAATGTGGTGTGACATCACACAGCATCTCTTTGTGTTGTTCTCCAGATTCGTTTACCTGCCGAGTCTGACATGCAGCAGCTTATCCCCTCTCAGCCTATAAAATACCACCAGTGCAGCATAGCATATAGGATCAAAATGGCAGAGAACCATCCCAATGGATCAAAACATTCACCTGAAGACAAACATTTGCCAAAATGAAGTTCTCTCAGCATTGCAAATTTATGAGTTACTGACAATTGTGCATTTAATATTAGACTAGCCAGGGGTCTGCAGCCTGAGGCTTTGGAGCTGCATGTAACTTTACAGTGGCTCTTAATGGTGGCTGAGAATTATATAATCAACCAACTCATGTAGTAGGACAACAAATACCAGTCTTAGAAGCTTTAAAAATTATGAATTATGTTTTTTTGCATCAAATAATACCCTATAGAGGAAAACCCATGCCTCCATCTTTATAACTCGTTTTATGTTTCCTTATTCTAAAAGCTAAAAATACAGACAGCTTTTGATTGTTTAAGATGGAAACAGACATGGCAGACATTTAAATAAACTTAAAGGTTGTGTTTCATTAAAAGGTCGTGTAGTATTTTGTGACTAAACAACTTTTACTTGACTGTACTCGGGCAACCTTTCTAGATTTTGAAAGCTTGCAGATCCCTGTACTAGACAAAGCTTGATATAGCATCCACAATTATGATTTGCTATACTGTGTGGTTAGTAGTTAGGTAGTTTTTAGCTTGATAAAGTCTTGCGCAGAGGGGGGTTTAGGATTTATGCTGGCATTGCTGAACCGACCTGTCAGGAAAAAAAAAAAAAAAAGGTTTATCGGTAGCTTAAACTCAAAAGGAAAGTCTTCACAATATCTAAATGTTTAATCACCATCACATTCCTGTCCCCGGTAATCGGGGGAATGGTCCCACAGATCAATATATGAATATAACATGTTGTGAAGCATTCACATAGATTGCTGTAAATATTTATCTACCAATGACACATGTGCATAAATATCTGTGGTGAATGCATTGATAATTTTGCTTACTTTGCAAATGGAAGATTAGAGGGGAAGCTCTTTACAGGGATCACCAAGACTACCTGGCCCATTAGGATGACACTCCCTAAAGCAATTTTTTCCATCTAGATAATGTGCTGAATTGTGTTTTGTAGAGGCCAACTTGCCAGATTCACACCATCTCTTTTTATCACAGGTGTCAAAAAAGAAGTGGTCAGTGTACATCAAATGTAGAACAAAAGGGAAGGGTTACCTATGTGCACAGTACTAAAGAGACATGATTAAATATAAATAATAACCAATTTGTGGTACACATAATGTAAAATGTATTTTTGAACTACATATATACATAATTGATATATTTAATTTTGGGGTGAAAATTGACAGTTTATTAAACTGAAACTTTTCTCTTGATAAGCCCCATCTTTTTAATGCTTGTGAACTAATTGAAAACGAATAAATATAGATGATAATGTTTTTATCAGGTGGTGGGCTCGGGGCAGCAGGCCCCTCCTCCATACCCAGGCCAAAGCCATCTTGGACCAACAGCAGTACACCAGCCCTCAACACCGATGTTTGTGTCTCCTCCTGCCAAATCTCAGCGGCTGCTGCACTCCGAGACATATCTCAGATACATTGAGGGACTCAATGCTGAATCGTCTACAGTCAGCAAATGGGACCATGCACTCACAGGTGAATCATTTTTTACTACTATCATAATGTTTGAAAGCATGTTTATCAGAGAGCACAATTCTCCTTGAATCAATTTTCAGACCCACTGCACATGTATAAAAATGTGAAATGTGAAAACATAACTCTGCCCCAGACATAAAAAAAAAATGCCAACAAAGTGGTTGCTGCCAAGAGAGCCTTAGGGGTATGGCTAAGTGTGGGGGCATTGGGGTTTAGATATGGTGTGGTCATAATGTGCAGGTTCTCTCTGGGTACTCTGTCTTCCTCCCACAGTCCAAAAACATGACTGTGAGTTTGTGTGCATGGTTGTATGTCTCTGATTTGCCCTGTGACAGACTGGCGACCTGTCCAGGGTGTACCCAGCCTCTCATCCTTAGACTGATGGAGTTAGGCACCAGACCCACTACGACCCAGATTGAATGAGTGGAAGAAGATGGATGGATAGATAATCTCACATGACAATGTAAAAAAAAAAAAAAAAAAAATCCCAGTAATAGGGTTAGTTGCTCTCTAATCCGTCCATCCATCTTCTCCCACTAATTCCTTCAGGGTCGCAGTGGGTCTGGTTCCTAACTCCATCAGTCTATGGGCGAGAGGCTGGGTATACCCTAATCAGGTTGCCAGTCTGTCGCAGGGCAACACAGAGAAAGGCAACCATGCACACTCACTCACACCTAAGGACTATTTAGAGACACCAAGTAACTTTACAGGCATGTTTTTGGACTGTGAGAGGAAGAGAGAGAGAACCCACACATGCACGGAAAGAACATGCAAACTCCTTGCAGATAGACCCCAACCAAGAACGTTATTGCTGCAAGGCAACAGCTTACCTACATACAATAATATGCATTTCTTGTTTTATATGTGGTTATGGGTCTGAAATGTTATTCTATATTTTATCCTGTTTTTTATTTTTTTATTTTATTTAAGTGAAAAAACAAGATGTACGTCTATCAAAGGAGCAAGAAAGCAAGTTACCGTCTCACTGGCTTAAGAGCAAGGGGGCCCACAAGACCATGGCAGATGCACTTTGGCGGCTTCGTGACCTGATGCTGCGAGACACACTAAACATCCGTCAGATGCACAACCTGTAGAATGTGGATATCCTGAGCCTCTGTTCCCAAAACAGTGTAACAGAGAAAAAAAATTGAGCTCACTAAAAGTCTTTAAGTTGTTATGAAAGAAGTATTGTTTGTGTTCATACCAGGAGCTTTCTGTTGTAAAGCGGCCTTTTGTTTGTCATTTCATATATCATTTCATTCCTAGTATATAATTAAGACTTTTCATCTGTGATGAAGGTTGTATTGTTCTGATTTCACAATAAAAAAGTGAAGAGTTAATACTATGTTTATTTACAACACTGGGAAGGTTATGTCACGCCTGCCAAATGGAATAAACAGGGTGCATAATATATAATATATATATTAATATCTTTAATTTATAATGTGCTACTGTCTATAGAACAAGCAGTAGTATTTTAAGCTTTGATGTCTCTATGACTGATTGAGCTTTACCTTCTGGCTCCTACATGGATTTCCTTTTTTATATATAGTATAAATATTTTGTATATTAGAGTAGTTATTTTCATGGTCTAAATATTGAAATGCTTTTACTGTTTTTTTCGTGTTTTTTAGCTGTCTTGGTGTAATGGCACTTAAATCATCCATTCAATAGGCAAAGTTAGGAAGGGTTGGAAAATAAAAGTTGTACAGTGTGTCAGCAAAGTAAAACAGTGGACTGAAATTTGGTTGAATGAAATCCTGACTCAAACAAAATTATTGGATTGAAATATGTTTAAAGTAAGATACAATTTGAGAACATTTTTTTTTTTTTATCATTTAGCATTATTGAATTTGTAGAGCTAGAGCTATTCTTAATAGACGAGCTGTTTTGAAGCTCAGAGAGTCGGATCTTCAGCGATTCAAGCCAAACGCTCTGGATCACAGAAAAGAGTCACAATTTCCATTACTCATCTGCGCATGCGCAATATTGGCCGCGCAGTTACGTTTGAAAGCTGCTACGGCGAGCACGTCTGTACGGTCTGTGGTGGCTTTAGGTCCCATCCCCGTTTAACAAAGTTCTATAACGGTAAGACGTCCCGTTTTAATGGTCCCAACATATATTTGGGTAAGGTAACTGTGACTCATCTTGGCATTCCTAAAATTGTTTAGGAGTATTATTTTGTTTTTATGTTGGTTATAGCTAACTTTATGGTTAGCAACCGGTGCATTAGCACGCTAGAGCTAATATTAGCCCAGGATGGGTCTAGTAGCTGGAGTCTGGATATCCATCGGTTCCATCAGAAATGGAAAGTTTTAAATGTATAGGTTGTTGGGTATTTAAAATATACGTTTTATTTACACTTGATCTTTGCACACGACCCTGTATTTTCAGGGCCATGTGCGTATATTTAATCTTCAAACGTTTAGCATGTTGGCTAGTTATTTTGTACACCTCATAGACGAAACTAATATTAGTGTGACACGATGTAGCCAGGTTAGCCTTGTTTGCTATTTAAAAATATAAGGATGACCTCAAAGTGACCTGGGTATTAATCCATCAAACAGCTGGACCGATTGAGCAATGAACTGCACATGGTGTGTCAAGATTATACACCAGCTCTGCTTTTGCACTGCAGAGATTTAATAGAAAGTGACATTTCCAACTTCGCCCCTCATAAAAAGAAATAAAATATATTTTGCAAGCTATTTTATATGGTAGTTTAAATATTGACAGATTGATAAGGCAGGTTCTGCTTGCTGCACCCTGCAGACTGCAAGCATTTGACTGAATGAATTGAAATTTATTTCAAATGGACAAATTGACAAGCAACAAATTAATCAACCAAACACCAATTTCCAAACTAATTAAATTCACCTCAACATAAATAGAAACAAACCCTCCACCAAATAAATCTGTCGATTATATACAGCCAGAGGAGTAATTCATGTAAATTGTCTGAAAAGGGGTATGAAGAAGTAAAACATTATTCATACCCCCTCTCCCTCTAATTGCACTTAAAGAACTTGGGTCCTTTCAACCTACTTTTAGGGTCCTATGCTTCCAGATGTGCACCGCTTCCTATTGTCTCCATATGTTTCAATACTGGTTTAAAGCAATTGTTTTCTTCTCGTCCTTCATTTTTCTCTGCACTATATTACCAACATTTTATTTCTACCTGTGTAAAAAATGAGGAAGCAACAATATATTTTTATTGAAAATACCATAGAAAGAAATAAACAGTTCTAACTTACGAAAAGAAGGCAAATGTAAAGCATTTAACAATCAATTTGGTGGTTTACTTAAAAATTAGATTGAGCATTTAACAAACAAGGGTACCTCTGATTATAACTGGCAAGTCATTGTTTTTCTTCTCCTGGTTTGTTTCTGTTAATGTTTTGAAAGTGTCAGAATTGCACATATTTAACATATGATTGGTTTCATAGCACTACATTTTCAGTTGATTAATATACTATTACAGCATTTTTGCCATATGTTATGTTCTATTAGATATATGTGCTAACTGTATCGGCTCACAAAGTTTGAAGAAAGATACAGGAAAAAACGGAAACATGACAGAAATTAAGAGGTGGAACTGATAACTTTGATAACTCTAAGTGTAATTATTGCTTTCATGATGATCACAAAATGGTACCAGAGAACCAAATACGGTGACATTTTTTCCTTGCTGTCAGTAACGGAAATTATGGATGCTTCTGTGTTTTATTTCCAGGGTACCTATGTGAAGATACTAATAGTTCTTTTTTTCCCTTAGCTTGTAAGCATGGAACTGAATGACGGTAACCTGCAAACCCTGACTGAGTACTTAAGGAAAACATTGAACCCAGATCCAACAGTTAGGCGTCCAGGTAGGACTAAAGTGGTGTCTGTGGGGGGCATTTCTGTGAAATATTTACTTTAAAGTTGTAGGGAAGTCATATTTAAATTTTAGATCATTCTGGCTTAAATATGTACATAAATGTACTCTTTATCAAACCCCATTGTCCCAAAAAAAATTTTAATTTCTATTAAAAAAAAAAAAAAAGAAAAAACCTGTCTTAAAATCTGTACTTCTGTTATCTTATGCAGGCCAGTTAGTTATATGTCAGCCTGTACACCTAAATTCGGCCAATTATATATCAACGGTCATCTGTCAATCAAATTCTTTCGGTCATAGCATCTTGATTCATATGTTGCAGCTAATATACGCTTAGGTTGAAATGAAAAATAAGACGGTTGAAATAAGAATCATTTATTTTACCATTGAGTTACGTCACAGTGTTCACGGGGATGGACGTCTGTGTCTTCAGCAGGCGTAGAGCTAACACTGGCATTGTTGCGAGGCAAGGGCTCAAACATGTACGGCTATAAGCCTTCTACACCAAACCAAGCTTCTGCCGCTCTGGTGTCCGATTCCACAGCATCTTCGTCCCCACTTTCCTCTTCTAAATAAAAAATGTATGACGGAGGAGACTCATCCACGACCTCCGACACAAGACTCCCCTCCTCTTGCATGTTTCTGCTGTCCATAGCGTTCCAGTGTAATTTGTCATTGGGAACCTACTAGCACTAAGTTGCAAACTGGTTAGCAAGATGCTTCTGAGACACCAGCCACAACCAAACAAACCTTCCGCCACAACAATCCCACTCCCTTTATAATTGACCAGTCACATTTAATTCGTATTTACGCGTGTAGTCGTGCATCACTCGGGAGAATTCACAACTGCAACCGTTGGAACAGGCGCTTCCCTACAACTTAAATATTCACATTTACTGATTAGGTGACTTTTTCTCAGAGATATAGTTTGAATTAGTGCAGAAGAGTGGATGTGACATCAGCCAAATGTAATCATAATGCTGCATAAGTATCAGTGACTCCCTCCTTTGTACAATATTGTCAAATGTTGAACTTATCCAGTGTTTCTTTTGACCAGTAAAACAGTCTGTTAGTTACTCTAAAATCCAAATGTTTCTAACTTTGTGTTTGACTTTAAAACCCATAACCCACCTATGATTTCTTAAAGGTGTAAGCACTCTGTCATCTAATCTGCTTTCATTGCTGTTTGTTCCTTTTCTCAGCTGAAAAGTTTCTGGAGTCGGTGGAAGGAAACCAGAACTACCCGTTATTACTCCTCACTTTACTGGAGAAGTCTCAAGACAATGTAATCCGTGTCTGTGCTGCTGTTACGTTCAAAAACTACATAAAAAGGAACTGGAGAATCGTGAGTCAAATGTGCCACAGCTTATAGGTGGAAGTACAAAGCTAAGGTCACCAGCTAAAACAGATAGCACTTGGGTTGTGTTGCTTGCTTCTTATATTAGAAAAGAAGACAATTGCTCTGATTAGGACACACACACTAACAGTAATCTTTAATATAATGTTACAGTTAAATATGCATTCAAACACATAATTCAGAATATTTTTATATTTCTCCAAGGTTGAGGATGAACCAAACAAAATTTCAGACGCTGACAGGACGGCGATCAAAGCAAATATTATAAATTTGATGCTGAGCAGCCCAGAACAGATTCAGAAACAGGTAAGCGGTTCCCTAATATTGAAGCTAATATCTAATCTAAACCTCTTCAGTCAATGATGTTGGTGCTTTTGTTCCTGATCTAAATATTCAGCTGAGTGATGCCATCAGCATCATAGGAAGGGAAGACTTTCCACAAAAATGGCCGGACCTCCTGACAGAGATGGTGACCCGCTTCAGAAGTGGAGATTTCCACATCATCAATGGAGTTCTCCGTACTGCACATTCTCTTTTTAAGAGGTTGGGCTTTTTCTTCCTAAATAACAGTTTTAATAAAGGATGCTCTTTGTTGAAAATTATAAAATGAAAGATTTTTGCTTTGAAGGTACCGCCATGAGTTTAAGTCTAATGAGCTTTGGACTGAAATTAAACTTGTACTGGACACATTTGCCCTTCCGTTGACAGAGCTCTTCAAGGTCAGGAGCTCTCTGTTGAGCAGCTTTCTCCAAAACAAATCGCATGTTTTAAAAAGTGGTCATAACTGTTTCTCTCATCGTTTCAGGCCACTATTGACTTGTGTCAAACTCACGCCAATGATGTCAGTGCCCTAAAGGTCCTCTTTTCATCCCTAACACTCATTTCAAAGCTTTTCTACAGTCTTAACTTCCAGGTCAGTTGTGTTGTGTTCATTCCACAACTTTGATATCTTTATATCAAGAGCTGTTTGCAGAAAAAGGCCTTTTCTTCTGAAAACCTTAATTGTTTTTAATAAACTTACTTTTGTCTTGGCCTTATATAAAAACGTTCTACCTTGCAAAAGTATATGTATGCCTTTAACTTTTTATATTTTGTCATGCTACAACCACTGGATTCCATTGAGATCTGATGTGATGAAAAAATTAAAAGTGAGGCCTAATTGGGAGAAGTAATTAAAGGGATACTGTAGAAACTAGGTTTTTAGGTGCGACTCTACTAGCTCTACATCCTTCGAGAGTAAAAAAAAAAACTTTTTAAATTCTTAGTGTGTTTTTTTTTTTTTTCTATTCTAATTAAATACACATTTCTAAGTAAATACACAGTGTAAGTCTATTGTGCTTTCTAACTGACTTAGACTTGGACAGATTTATTTTGTCATTTTGTATTTACTGTAAACAAGAATTTTGTTAAAACCAGCTCTCTAGACAATTTCATTTTTTTTAAAGTGCAGCCTTAACAGTAAAAGCATTAAAAAAACAGTAATATAAACATATGACTGTATATTTACAGTTCTAATATTTCAGTTTTTCTTTTCTTTTTTTTAATAATAAAATATAATAAATAATAAAATACAATAAAACAACCCATACAATAACCCAACTGTGTGTTTAGGGAATCTCTTGTCCAGTTTAAAGTCTCTTGCAGGGTTCAACAGGCTTACTACTTTGAGCACCTCCATACATGATGCTCCCACCACCTTATTTCAGGATGGGGATGGTGTGTTCACCCCCTGAAAGAAACATGTTTGCCTTGTCCCATCATGACTCGTAGTGAAATACAAGGGGTCTCTTTGGAATAGAGATAAAGGCCACACCAGTCAGATTTATGTTTGTCAAATGAATACTTGTCCTTTTACTTAATCTTCACAATTATGCATTGCTTTGTGTGGGGCATTTTTATAAAATTCCAAGAAATAACACAAAAAACTATATTTGTCAATTAACTTTATGGTTAAAAAAAAAAAAAAAAATTTTAAGGGTTTGAAGAATTTTGCTTAATATTATTTGGAAGTTCTTGGCAATTAGAATGAAGCATGCAGGTTATAGATCTAAGCAGTGTTATTCATAACCACCTGTGTGTAACTGAACTCTACTTTATTACAACAGGACCTTCCAGAGTTCTTTGAGGATAATATGGAAACCTGGATGACCAACTTTCACGGCCTTCTGACTCTGGACAATAAGCTTTTACAAACAGATGTGCGTTGTCCTCCATTACTGCAGGAAGCATGTATTTTTTTATTTTTTTATTATAAATGTTAAATTATTTGACTTAGGATGAAGAGGAGGCTGGTCTCCTGGAGCTGCTGAAGTCTCAGATCTGTGACAACGCGGCTCTTTACGCTCAAAAGTACGATGAGGAGTTTCAGCCGTACCTGCCACGCTTTGTTACTGCAATCTGGGGCCTTCTGGTCTCCACCGGCCAGGAAGTCAAATATGACCTGGTGAGACCAGTGGGATTTTTATTTCTACTACAATTTATAGATATATATATTAAATTATACTGTTTGCACAAACCAATAACAATACTCCCACCTCCTCCCCAGCTTGTAAGCAATGCTATCCAGTTTTTAGCATCAGTTTGTGAAAGGCCGCACTACAAGCATCTGTTCGAGGACCAGAACACACTCACCAGCATCTGTGAGAAGGTCATTGTGCCCAACATGGAGTTCAGAAGTAAGCGCTCAGATGTCCTCTGCTGTTCTGAGGTCTGATCCGTGTTTTGCTCTTTAGTGGCACTAACCAGATTGCTGTCTGTCTAACTACAGGTGCAGATGAGGAGGCTTTTGAAGATAACTCTGAGGAATACATCCGGAGAGATCTTGAGGGATCTGGTAAATTTGAGATTGTTTAAATAACTAATCTTTATGACAATATTAACATTTGGTATTTTCAATGATTTTAGACAGTATAGTAATGCACATAAACGATGCTAATTTATTTAGAGGATTCCATTTAAAAGATGCTAACTTTATTTGCTGTTGGGTCATCATATTTATGTATTAATGCCTCTGGTTAAAAAGAAACCTCTTTGTTTGTTTCCTTCAGACATTGACACTCGCCGCAGGGCAGCATGCGACTTGGTGAGGGGCCTCTGTAAGTTTTTTGAGGGGCCAGTCACAGCCATCTTCTCTGGCTATGTGAACTCGATGCTTACAGAATATGCTAAGAACCCCGGGCAGAACTGGAAACACAAAGATGCAGCCATCTATCTGGTCACATCGCTGGCATCCAAAGCCCAGACGCAGAAGGTGAACAAAAGTCCTGGAAGTTTTAAAGGGTTCATTATGCTTTGTTGATTTGTTTACATTTTTGTTTGTATTTTAACAGCATGGAATTACACAAGCCAATGAACTGGTGAATCTGACTGAATTCTTTGTGAACCATATTCTTCCCGATTTAAAATCATCCAATGGTAAGACTCCTTTTGATGTTTGGAACGACAAAGAATTTTCTTGTTGGGTTATGTTGAAATAAGTGACTGGTTCATGAGGCGTCATGAAGCATTCAGACATACACTATATTGCCAAAAGTATTTGCTCACCCATCCAAATTATTGGAATCAGGTGTTCCAATCACTTCCATGGCCACAGGTGTATAAATTCAAGCACCTAGGCATGCAGACTGTTTTTACAAACATTTGTGAAAGAATGGGTCGCTCTCAGGAGCTCAGTGAATTCCAGCGTGGAACTGTGATAGGATGCCACCTGTGCAACAAATCCAGTCGTGAAATTTCCTCGCTCCTAAATATTCCACAGTCAACTGTCAGCTGTATTATAAGAAAATGGAAGTGTTTGGGAACGACAGCAACTCAGCCACGAAGTGGTAGGCCACGTAAACTGACGGAGCGGGGTCAGCGGATGCTGACGCGCATAGTGCGAAGAGGTCGCCAACTTTCTGCAGAGTCAATCACTACAGACCTCCAAACTTCATGTGGCCTTCAGATTAGCTCAAGAACAGTGCGCAGAGAGCTTCATGGAATGGGTTTCCATGGTCGAGCAGCTGCATCCAAGCCATACATCACCAAGTGCAATGCAAAGCGTCGGATGCGGTGGTGTAAAGCACGCCGCCACTGGACTCTAGAGCAGTGGAGACGCGTTCTCTGGAGTGACGAATCGCGCTTCTCCATCTGGCAATCTGATGGACGGGTCTGGGTTTGGCGGTTGCCAGGAGAACGGTACTTGTCTGACTGCATTGTGCCAAGTGTAAAGTTTGGTGGAGGGGGGATTATGGTGTGGGGTTGTTTTTCAGGAGCTGGGCTTGGCCCCTTAGTTCCAGTGAAAGGAACTCTGAATGCTTCAGCATACCAAGACATTTTGGACAATTCCATGCTCCCAACTTTGTGGGAACAGTTTGGAGCTGGCCCCTTCCTCTTCCAACATGACTGTGCACCAGTGCACAAAGCAAGGTCCATAAAGACATGGATGACAGAGTCTGGTGTGGATGAACTTGACTGGCCTGCACAGAGTCCTGACCTCAACCCGATAGAACACCTTTGGGATGAATTAGAGCGGAGACTGAGAGCCAGGCCTTCTCGTCCAACATCAGTGTGCGACCTCACAAATGCGCTTCTGGAAGAATGGTCAAAAATTCCCATAAACACACTCCTAAACCTTGTGGACAGCCTTCCCAGAAGAGTTGAAGCTGTTCTAGCTGCAAAGGGTGGACCGACGTCATATTGAACCCTATGGATTAGGAACGGGATGTCACTTAAGCTCATATGTGAGTCAAGGCAGGTGAGCAAATACTTTTGGCAATATAGTGTATATACACCATATCGATGCTGTGTCACTGAATGCTGACACCTGCTGGACATTTAAAATCACTAAACTGACACTGATTTCATGACCAATAATATGATTTAGGCCATAGTTTGCTATAATGTATTATTTCATTACTATTTACATTTTTAAGGAGCATATTAGAAGTGTCTTCCTTCAGGTTATGCAGAGCAGCACCTGTTGCATATCTTAAGGTCCCAATTAAGTAGTTTCTAATAAACCTTTCAGAGGCTGGAGACCAATGCTGGATTGATGCACATAAGGAGGGCTTAGGAAATGAATTTGGTTATTGTGATTAAATATTAAAGTAACAGTCAGCCAACTTGATCGTAAAATCTTTACCTATATTAATGACTCTAAAAGATGCCATTTGCTGAAAGGATAACCTATTTACACCAGCCATTAGGACAAAACTTATGTAAAAAAAAAAAAAATATTTATGCTATTTTTGTATTACATGAATAGGTATATGTATTTTATATTGCTTATATTCCATTTACAACTTATACAAATGGTGATAACTTTTTATAAATAGAATGAACCAGAATAAACCTGTTGATTATTTTTAGATGAATCTGTTACTAATCGGACAGCCAAACTTCCTTAAAGAAGACTTTTTACGTAATTAAACCAGGTGAAACTAAAACTTTTCCACTTGACGAGTTTTGGATAAAGCATATACTGCTTCAAGTGGATCGTCTGTCAGCTAAAAGCATGTTTCGAAGTCTCTATACTCTTTTTAACGATTGATCGATTACAAAATTAGTTGATTCTTTCAATAATTGATTAATCAGATTAATTGTTTCAGCCCTGGATTACTAAAAGGATCGATATCCGCAGCCCTATACACCAGTAGAACTCTGTGTGTTTGATGCACTGATCGACTTGTATTGATCTGTTGTAGTTCATGGAGTGAAAACATATGCTGCCTTACATTTCAAGCCAACATTAGTATGCACTGTAATATTTACCTGGTGTTTTTATTGCTTTAATTAGCAAAGCAGGGCTGGGGATAGACTTCTCTCAAAAAAAAAAAAAACTGTCGCATAATTCTATTGCAGTTAACCAGATTATAAAAGTGAGGCTTACGTTTTTAATCTTGCAGCGGTCTTCTAGCTTCCTGTGGTAATAATGCATCAGAATAAAATTTGATTCAGAGTGTAACCCATCCCATTTGGGAATAAAGGGCTACTACTGTACATTAACAATGGGCCATTATGGGACTACGGGTCTTGATAAAGTAACTACCATATCAACTTGGAAGGATTGTAGCAGAAGCAATTATTTGAATAATTAAATACTGATGTGTTAAAAATGATTATTTTGAAAAAGCTCAATCATGTTTATAATCTCCCTGCAGTTAACGAGTTCCCTGTGCTGAAGGCGGATGCAATCAAGTATGTTATGATCTTCCGAAGTCAGGTATGAAACCTCTGTTTCTCCATAACTTGTTTAGTGTTTTAAATGAAAATTGAATTCCTCACTTTAAGATTCCTCCTTTCCTTCCCTCCAGCTTCCTAAGGAGCAGTTGCTGCAGGCAGTTCCTCTCCTGATAACACACCTGCAGGCGGAGAGCACAGTTGAACACACTTATGCTGCGCATGCATTGGAGAGGCTGTTCACAATGAGAGGCCCCAATAACGCAACACTGTAAGTTTCAAACAATAAAGAGGAACCGATTCACACCCCAGTTGGTGCAATATGATGTTCTTAACTAGGCAGACTGTAACATTTTTAGTATTTCCACCATCTTGGCTTAAAAGGACAATGATTGAATACTTTCTAGTTAATCATTTTCACAGTATTCTTTCAGTGTGCATTTTCTTAGCTGGGACTGGGAGATTTCTAACGTAAATCTTCTTTTAGTATCACTTCAGCAGAGATGGCACCTTTTACTGAGCAGCTGCTCACCAACCTCTTCAAAGCACTGAGTCTTCCTGGTTCTGCAGAAAATGAGTATATCATGAAAGGTAATCATCTGTTTCTTTCCTCTGTGTTATAAGTTGAAAGTTAACAGCAAACTAAAGTTTGTTTGCCTTCATCTCTGAAGCCATCATGCGCAGCTTCTCCCTGCTCCAGGAGGCCATAGTTCCTTACATTCCCTCTCTGATTGGTCAGCTCACTCATAAACTCCTCTTGGTCAGCAAGGTAACAGTTTTTTTTTTTTTTTTTTTTTTTTTTTTTTGAGTAGAAATAGATTTGTCACATTTCCTCTGGGTTATTTGTCTCAATTATGGGTTTGTTTGTTTTCTTTCTCCCAGAATCCCAGCAAGCCTCATTTTAATCACTACCTGTTTGAGTCTCTGTGCCTGTCTGTGCGCATCACCTGCAAGGCTAACCCCGCCACAGTTAGCAGCTTTGAGGAGGCTCTTTTCCCCGTCTTTACAGAAATCCTTCAGAACGACGTTCAAGGTATTTTAGTTGTGCGTCAAACCCTCCTGATGTTCGTGATGTGTTAATGAAATAAGGGGACTGACTCTTGTTTGTGTCTTTTGTAGAGTTTCTTCCATATGTGTTCCAGGTGATGTCTCTTCTCCTTGAGATCCACTCCAACTCTATTCCTGCTTCCTACATGGCTTTGTTCCCCCACCTGCTCCAGCCCATACTGTGGGAACGCACGGGGAATATACCTCCTCTTGTGCGTCTGCTGCAAGCTTACCTAGAGAAGGGAGGGGCAGCTATCGCTACTTCAGCAGCTGACAAAATTGTAAGTAGCTTCTAGAATTTTTTTTTTTTTTTTTATCCATTTGCCTGCCATGTTTTTGTTAAAGGCATATGGACCAAACTCTAAGAAGGAAAATGCTGTTTATATTTAGTTGATTGTAGATGTATACTAAAGTTTCTCTATTCCACTTATTCTCGCACTTTTCCATCTCAGCCTGGATTGCTTGGAGTTTTCCAGAAGCTCATTGCCTCCAAGGCCAATGACCATCAGGGATTTTATCTCCTCAACAGCATCATAGAGAACATGCCCCCGTAAGCCTCCCAGGGTTCTTTGATCCGCTTTTAATTCCTAACATAATAAGCAGAATGGTTTTTGTTACTCAAATGTTTTTGTGTTGCTTTTCCAGGGAGTCCATCACTCAGTACAGGAGACAGATCTTTATCTTGCTCTTCCAGCGGCTCCAGAACTCTAAAACTACAAAGTTTATTAAAAGTGAGTGTCTGGATTGTCAATGCCATTTTCTTAGATTTTTATATTTTCTAACTTTTATTATAATGGCAATTTGAACAGCTATACAGTGAGGAAAATAAGTTCTTGAAAACCCTTCTATTTTGCCAGTTCTCCCTCTTGGAAATCACAGACAGGTCTGAAATTGTCATTGTTGTTGCCTGTCCACTGTGAGGGACATAATCTAAAAAAAAAAAAAATTCCTGAAATCAAAATGTATTTTTTTAAACTATCTTTATGATACAGCTGCAAATAAGTATTTAAACACCTGAGAAAATCACAGTTAATGTTTGCAAACACTGCAGAAGGGATTTTCACCCACTCCTCCACACACATCTTCTCTAGATCAGTCAGGTTTCTGGGCTTTCGCTGAGAAACATTGAGTTTAAGCTCCCTCCAAAGATTCTCAATAGGGTTTAGGTCTGTAGACTGGCCAGGCCATACCAGAACCTTGATATGCTTCTTCCAGAGCCACTCCTTGGTTATCCTGGCTGTGTGCCAGAGATGGGGACTCGAGTTTGTGACTCGTACTCGAGTCGCACTTAAGTCGCATATTTAATGACTTCAGACTCGACTTAGACTTGCATTTAAAGGACTTCAGACTCGACTGAGACTCGTGATTTCCAACTTGTGAACAATATTTTATTCCAGTGTAAAAACACTTATTCAAGTGTTTTTTGTTTTACTAACTTGACTGATCGCCGCTCGCCTTACTCGCACACAGAAGAAAACTCAAAGACCCAAACCGTGAAGCACTCAAGTTCAAGTGTTTAATTTATACAAAAAGCCACAGCAAAAGTGGCATAATAAAACAGTCCTTTTCTTCTCCTGATAAAACCTAAAATTCAAGAATTTTCCTTAAAAATCAGAGGCTGGAAGTTGGGCTCCGCTTGTTATGCTGCTTCTGGTGCGCGAGTGAACAGCCTGCAGCACCCACTGGCTGATCCACAGACTCTGCGGCGCTCCAGCACTGTTCCACTCCCTGGCGTGCCACACCCCTTTCCAGACCGATCCAGCTAAAAAGAGAAGCAAGGAGAACGCCAGCATCCACGCGCCAAAACCCTGTCGGAAGATATACTGTTTATGCTTTAAGCGAGGGGGAGCGCTACTTACAGGCGAGGTTCCTCCTCTGCCCTAATACTCCTTACTGGGCCATCAGTGCGCACGGATCCCGCCTGCATCTTCCCCAGCAGCGCGTCCGTGTCTGTCACCTGCAGATTCCGTTCTACTTCTCCTTTCTTTTCTGTCTGCTTTAATCATCCCTTGCTCACAACTGAGCGCAGCAATTACGCAGCGCAATTAATGCACTCCGCCTCCTCAGACAAATACTTCAGTCCAGTGCGCATGGATTGTCACAAGGGAAAAACAAACCAAAACAACCCAACATGCAGGAAAAATTCAAAAGTCTAAAATAAAGGAAAACAATCATATAAAAAAGAAACATCCAAACATGCAAAGCTTAAGAAGAAAATACAAAGAAAAACAAATATCTTCCTCTCCAAACATGCAAAGCATAAAACTAACATTAAAATGAAAGAAAACCATAAATCATATTTTTCCCTGTGCAACACACTGACGTCACTGACGCAACATTACGTGGACGGCAGGATTGTGATTGTTTTTTTTTCCACAGTCCTCATTTTCAATAAAAGAGCAGACATTTACTGCTAAAACTAGAAAAAGTTGTAACCACAAATGTCAGGAAATACTGTAAGAAAATGTTAAATTTATCTGGAAAAAAATTTTGTGTGTGCTTTTTTTAATTGTATTTTTCATTTAGCAGTTCAAGATAATGATAATTCCATAGATATAATAGCGACCTTTAAGCTATACCGTCTCCGTGACGGAGATGAAAACACAAGGAGAAACAAGCAAGCACAAAAATTATTGCACTTTTTAAAATTAATCAAGTGATTAGAATTTTTTGTGCGATTAATTGATTATTGCGACTTGAGACTTGACTTGGACTTGAGCTCTCAAGACTTGAGACTTGACTTGGACTTGCAAAAAATGACTTGTGAACATGTCTGCTGTGTGCTTTGATTAATTATCAAAGGGGAAGACCCAGCCTAGACCCATCTTCAATGCTGTGCCTGAGGGAAGGAGGTTGTTCCACAAAATCTCGCAATATGTTGCCCCGGTCATCCTCTCATTGATATAGTGCGGTCACCCGTCCCATGTGCAGAAAAAATTACCCAAAGCATGATAATTTTTTGATGCTATGACCCCCATTCTTCGCAGTATTCATGTTGTTCTTGGGATGGTACTATTCTTACTTCTTTCTCCAAACAGAGTTGGTGGAATTGTTCCAATACTTATTGTACTCACTGTATGCAGTGATTTGCTATGTTTGAAATCCCAGAACGTACAATAAAATAGCTTTGCATGCTACTGTGTACCTTTCACTCTAGTACCAATTAGGATTGTAATACATCTAGTGGTGCAACCTGGACACATCTTCAGTGACTCTCCCGAGATCACTGGGTGTTTCGGGTCTTAGTCATACACCCTCACTCGGGCAACCCAGCCGGGGGTCATCAGTTCCCCGACTTGTGTCCAGGGAGCACACAATGCCACGCCTCCCCCTTCCTCAACCAGAGCCACCGTGAAGCCTTTTCAGCTGCTTCCAAGATGTTCTTGGTTGCTCTTCGTCTCTGCAGACCGCAAATCCCTAGGAGTCCAAGGACCCGGTGTAGAGATCTGCCTGCGAAGCCCCTGCAGCCCACTTCAATAGGCTCACAGCAGGTCTTCCAGACATTCCTCCGGCACTCAGCCACAAGTTCTGTGTATTTAGCCCTCTTCCTCTCCTAGGCTTCCTCTATTCTGTCCTCCCAAGGAACAGTTAGTTCAAGCAGCACAACCTGCCTGGTGGAAGTTGATGACAGCACCATGTCTGGGCGGAGTGTCATGGCTGCGATGTAATCCGGGAATCTCAACTGCCTCCCCAGATCGACCAAGAGCTGCCAGTCCCTTGCTGTCGTGAGCAGGGCCCCTTGGGTCTTCTTGGAGGGTTGCAGTTTCTCCCCTGCTCGAACAAAGGCAATCATGCTCCTGCTTAGAGGTTGACTCTTGCTGGTGTTTATGCCAGTGCAGATGGTATCTGCTATTGCCCGCAGGACCTGGTCATGGCGCCAGCGGTAGCTGCCATCTCCCAGGGCCTTTGGGCAGCAGCTTAGGATGTGCTCAAGAGACCCTTTCCTCTGGCAGAGCTGACACGCAGGTGATTCTATCAGGCCCCAGGTGAACAGGTTAGTGGGGCTTGGGAGGACATCATACACCGCTTGGACGAGGAACCTGAAATGATGTGGCTCCGCCCTCCATACATCAGTCCAGGTGATCTTACGGCTGGAAACGTGCTCCCACTTGGTCCAGGCCCCCTGCTTGCTCATGCCCACCACCCTGCTGAAGCGAGCTTCTTCCACCTCTGCCCAAACCTCCTCTTGGATGAGTTTACGCCTGTCCTTCCCTGTCACTCTGCTGTAGCAGGGCTTCGGGTTGCTGCCCAGCCCTGCCCGCCCTGTGGCCACTGTACCCACCATGGTGCTGTGACGCAGCCTCGCCTCGGCTCTTTCCACTGCGTCCTTGGCACGCCACTTCCTTCCAGTGCGGACCTCTATCCCTGCTGAAGACACCTTCCCATCAGTGAAGTCTCTGTAGAGAAGGACTTCTCTAGCCCGGGCAACCTTGATGTCCTCTGACACGCTGCTCAACGGGAGCGTGAGCTTGGTTACTAGTTGATCCGACTGTCTGCTGTAGTTTACAATTTGATACACTTTAATTCCTACATGCTTTTAAATGTGCCTCTAACTTTAAAGTATGAAGAGGTTTAAGGTGTGATGCAACAGAGCTTTATCACACAAGCCAGGTTTCCATCCAAATTTCATGAGAATTTTAAAAAGCTGAAAAAAATGCAAAATGTGTTTTACTTGATATGTGAATATTTAAATGCAATAGTGTTCCACTGGAGAAAAGTGATGGTAAGCGTAATGTAGTTGTATATTGAAGTTACAGTTGGCTGTAATGCACAGGAAGCAGAGGTGGTTAGACGAGCACAGACTGCAGAACAGGAGGTTTTAAGTTTTACTTGATCACATCAGAATGTGTAAATGATGTACATGCCATCTAGAGATGTCAGGAGAGAAGTGTGGCTCTAACGCTGGCGTTCAGGGTAGGATTCCAGCAGTGGAAACAGTTGATCAATTAATGTGACATGTTCACTGAAACATATTTGTCGAAAAAGTACTATCTTAAATAAATCACAAATCATCACAAGCAATGTAAAAACTTTTTTGAGAAATGTATTGATTTACATTTTGTTTCCATCAAACTTTTGTAATGCGATAAAATGTGCAAAAAAATATGAAAATGCATTTAGAACACTTAATTTGTTACCCTGCATAATACATGGAAATAAAAAAAAAGGTGAACACTACAATAATAGTTTTAGCAGTAATAGAAGACTGGAGTTATTTGATTTTATTTGAATATAACAGTTTTTATGAAACTCTTTGGGAACCAAGGTTACCTAAAAAGAAGTGCATTGTGTCAAAACTAGTATAGCATTTTTAATAAATGTTAACGGTTAGCCTAGCAAATGCGTGAATAACAACATCCCACTAAAAAAGGAGATTCTCATCACAGAAAAAAGACAAACGCTGAAATATAAACACAAAACCATATTTTCAGCTCTTAAGTATTAAAAAGGTTTACATTTAAAAGAAAAGGAAAAAGACTTAAGTAAAATTTCTAAGCCACTTTTGAGTTTCATTGTTTTGGACTGACTTAAGTTTCAGTAATTTAGAGGTGCCTCAGCTGAATGTAATTGATATTAACTGTACAGCAGTGATCTAGATCATTTCATTTATTTCTTTTAATCGAAGATGTTCGTAATGCAACCTAAAATAAATATTTTTGTTTCTGTCCTCAAAGGTTTTTTGGTGTTTGTGAACTTATATTGTGCCAAATATGGAGCCATTGCACTTCAGGAGATCTTCGACAGCATTCAGACAAAGTACGTAACTTTTTCTTTTTTTACAATATAAACAATTGGTCACTTTAAAGCAGTGCTAATCTTACATTTTACACATAAATACTGCTTTTTGAAATGTGCTGTTAGTAACTGTTATTCTGTATGCCGGATTTCAAAATAAAATCTGCCCCGTGATTATAGCGGTAAAATGCTGAATTGTAGTATCTCGATTTTGTATAGTTTTTATTTGACTGAATTGATACGTTTTTGCATTTGACTATTTTAACCTTTTTGATCTGCAGAATGTTTGGGATGGTGTTGGAGAAAATCATTATTCCAGAGGTTCAGAAGGTGTCTGGAGCAGTGGAGAAGAAGATCTGTGCTGTAGGCATTATAAAAATCCTCACGGAGTGCCCCGCCATGATGGATACAGAGTACACAAAGCTATGGTAAGAGCTTGCTTCGACTAAAGTGTACCTTGAATTATAGCTGTCATCCCAGTGATCTAGTCCTCTGATGTCCCCTTTAAGAATTTAAATGGAAACCTTAATAAAACTTTTATGACCAACACAAATCCATTTGTTTAGAGATTTTGACTTTTAATTTTGTCGCATTGTTAGTTTCAGTATAAATCCATCTAAATGTATTTTTACTATAAATGGATCCTTTAAAGTTCTTTAACACAAAACTTCATGAACTAAATGGGTATGTCACTGCAGCGCAGTATACAGTAATGTAACTTTACTGTTCATCACACTGAACTGCTTTTATTAATGGATTCACCAGGAATAGGTCAGACAAAAAGAAAAGTATATAATCAGTTTTGTGCCTTTTGTAAACATGTTGAATTTACTGTTATCTTAAAATTACTAAAAAAAAAGGTCATCTTTATTCATGATTTAAGAGGGGTTTTTTTTGTTTTCTTCTAAAGCCGGTTATACACTGTATGAATTTTTTTATTTTTATTTTTTTGCCTATTTTAGGCTGATTCTCCAGTTGGGCGAGAATTCTTTGGGCAGGGTTTCAGGCTCATCTTGCGTCCTGCTTCGCGTAGTATACAGGGGTTAACGAGGGGCGATTAGCCTCTCACAACCACCCGATCAGGAATCAGAAGGTCAGGAGCAAATCAAACATGTTTGAAATTCAATCGGCCGTCGTGAGGTCTTCGTGGACAAATTCTGCTGTTGGAAGCAGAGCTACTAGCGTCTACGAGTCGATTTACCAGAACCTAAAGCACTGTGCACATGCATACAAGCGAGTTCTTTCAGATTGACTAATGCAACCAGCACCATCTCTTGGCGCTGTTTCTGACGTGTGGTTTTTGGAAGTGCAATGTGAGCAGGTAGATCGCATCAGTGCGTCGGGCTGCACAGTGTGAGAAAATATATCATGATCTGTGAACTTTTAAACCCTGCTGTTTCATCGTACATTTTGAGCTGTAGCTGCGTGCAGCAATTGAAAATGTCACACAATGTATGCCCGGCTTAAGTTTTGAGCAGTTCACTAACATTAGGCTTGGCGGCTGCTGCTGCTGTCAGCTTGTTCGCTCAGAAGACTTGATGAGGGAGCGTGTGTGAGATGCACATAGATTGATAGATTATTCACAAAGATTTTTGCCCTCTGGTTAGTGGCACAAATATAACACCATGTTGCATCCTAACATGGTCAAATCCCCCTCCCTCCTGCCACTGGGCATATTATCAGAAAGTGTCTTAGTTATAGTGAGTTACTTTTTTGTTGTGTACTAAAGACAGATTCCAGGAAAAACAGCGTATTGAACTATTAAAATGGCTCATTTTGAACATATTTGCTTAGGACCCCTCTGCTCCAGGCTCTTATTGGCCTGTTTGAGTTACCAGAAGATGACAGCATCCCAGACGACGAGCACTTCATCGACATAGAAGACGCCCCAGGCTATCAGACGGCCTTCTCACAGCTCGCCTTCGCTGGAAGGAAGGAACACGATCCAATTGGAGATGCGGTTGGCAACCCAAAGATCCTGTTGGCCCAGTCGCTTCACAAGCTTTCAACTGCCTGTCCTGGAAGGGTATGTTCCAGTTCATTGTCTATGATTCTTCTTGCTATATCACATCGATTCCTTTAACCCTTTGTGACCTTTAGCACCGTCAGTGTGGGTGTTTCCCTCCAACAGGAAGCTGTGAATACTAATTATTATAATTTCCAGATAACTATTGGATCTGTTTTCTTCTCTCTACCTAGGGTATCCACATTCCCTCTGGGTGATTCCTCCTTCCTGTCTTTTTCTTTCTTGCAGCCTTCCTTTCTTTTTTCCTGATACCATTTGTCTTATATTTACCTCCATCTTTCTTCCATCCTGTTGTCCATTCTTTTTTCCTCCATGTGCCCTCCTTCCTCGCTTTCTTTTTTTTTTTTTCATATTTGAAACTTAATGTGTGGATTCATATTTTAGGAATAAAATGGTTCTCATACTTTGATCATTAATATTTCATATTTTAATCATTGTCTTTGTTGTTGTTTTTTTTGTCCTTTTACACATACAGTCTGTGAATACAAAAATGCATTTGCCAAACACAGGCATTAAATAATATACAAAAAATTGACCCGAACAAAGTAACCCAATTTAGCCCACCCAGGTCACTGAATATTTCATATTTTAAACTGAACAAAGGACTTGAAAATTTGGACCACTATGTCATTTTTAGATAGTAAAATATGTAGGAATCCTCTACTGGAAGTAAGAAAAGCTATTTCTGAAGTGCATCATGTATGACAATTAATGCAAATGTTGCCCCCTTGTGTCTGTTTTTGGCACAGGTTCCCTCCATGCTGAGCACCAGTCTGAATGCGGATGCCCTGAAGTTCCTGCAGGGATATTTGCAGGCAGCGAATGTGCAGCTGGTTTAAAATAAAGATGCGAATGACTATGCAAATGCTGCAGACACAGTTAGCCCTAGTCAGCTCACAGATCAGTTACAGCTGAGATCATGACTCCATGATGGATTAAAAAATAAACAGCAGGATTTTGCCTGAAAATGGGAGGTCTTTTCATAAGAAAACGTTTTAAGTGTTTTTAAAGACGACCAAATGGTGGCAAAGCAAAATTTATCCTCTTTGGTAATGCCAACAGGAATTTAGGTTGGTGTCCATGCACTGGTAACATAACACATTTGAATTGAAGAGTATTAGAACAGAAGTGAAGAGATTTCCTTATTAACAGTTTTGTTGGTTGGCATTGGTTCTGCATGTGTTCCTCCGATTTGTTGCAGTCTTGTGCTTTTGTTTTCAACACTTTGTCCATGTGAATAAAGAGACACACTTGTGTACATCTGTCACTAGTGCTGTTTTACTTCTAAACTGGGTTCTTATTCAACTTTATTATAAAAATATTTTTGAAGTAATCTGCTTTGTATTCTATTTAACCAATAATTCAGTTTTTAGTCTTGTGTATAAGTCAAGCATCTTTTGAGGAAAAATGTCTTATTGCACCATAACGTGAAAATACAACCTGTATGTTTACTGGTTCAATAAAATTAGGAATATTAAAGGTAGTCAAAATCTTCGAAATGTCGTTAAGTGAAACCATTGCTGAAATTTTACAAGCCCAAATTTCTTGGGTTAGGGTTGATTATTGGCTGACATAATGAAAACCCAAAATTCAATTTATTACGATATTTCATAACGATCCTAAACATATTTTTAAACTGAAATGCCAAGCTTCTAAAAAGCACTCCATCCTTTTACATGATTTAAATCAGAAATGCAGTGAGACATTCAGATCATCCTTTGGTTCTGCTGAAGTTTAAAGAAAGGCCATGTTGCTTCCAAACTGTGCTTTAGCTCATTTTAGCTTTTCTAAGGTTCATGCCAGTTCACTGTTCAGACGGTAACACCACGGGAACCAGTTTTGGTACCCTTGCCAGCGTAGGTGGCTATCAGCTTCTACTGGAAAATTAAATAATCTACATAACCTTTTGTCAGGAGAAGGAAGCATAACATGCTGAAACAAATCCTAGTAGATAGCTGTAAAGCAGGTCATCACCAGCAGAAGATATTCAATTCAAACACACATTGGTCCCAGAGGAAAATGTGATGTGGTTTTTTACAGAGTTCTAGATGTGCATACCTGCAGGCAGGAAGGATCCTCCAGCTTGTATAAAGACTGTTGTTGTGTAACACATTCTGAAGAGGATGCACACTGTATCCAAAATGTTCTTCATTTTATGACTTATTCATTGTAAAATCATCTCCAGAGGTTCTAGAGGAGTTCTTGAGGAGTTGAGCTTCTTTCAGTAATTTGCTCTAATGCCATTACCCCAGCAGAAAATGCCAGAAGTGATCACACTCTTCACAATAGACTTATACAAGATATGTAACATCTTGCTGCAAACACTGAAGGACCTGATACTCCTTAGGAAGTACAGTCTGAGAAAATCTATTTAAAATAAAGTTAAGATTTTTTTTTTTTTTTGAAAAAGACCAAGTTTCTGCTAAATGTATTTTAAATCTTTATATACACCTTTAATAGGAAACTATCATAAAACAAAATTACAACAAAATCCTTGGCATTTACTTAATTCCATTCAAAAACACAAAGACTCAGGAGGATTTCATGTGGCCATTTGATGTCTTCGTCTCAGTGTTCTTGATGAATGGCAGCATACACCTATCGCCTCCCATGAAGCGATACGTCACAACGTTGGCCTCCCAAGGCAGCACCCTGTAAAATATACGATTCAAGTCAATATTTAATCCAAATGGCCGTGGCCGTTTCTCATGTCTAATAAGTAGCCTACTCACGCTCTTGCGATGAAGGGGATGTACATGATACGAGGAATGCAGACCATCTCTTGCTCTCCTAATATGGCTTTCATGGACTGCTGCACCGTATAGAGAGGCTCAAGTGGAGGAATCAAACTCTGAATCTCTTTCCTGGAAGGTTTGCAAAAAAAAAAAAAAGTTGTAATGCAACCTGTCAGATGGGCTGAAAGATGTCCCGCAGCATCTCACCTGATCTCACAGCCTGCAAACATCCCTGTGTCAACAATGTAGGGGCACACTAAAGTGGTTTTGATGCCATCGTTGTTTTCTGCTCGCAGTTCATGTGCTAGTGATTCGTGGAAACCGACAGCACCAAACTTACTGGCACAGTAATCCTGCAAGAGAGTAGAACTGTTCAGGCCCCTTGGTGTGCTTTTATAATGGTTAGGCTTTATTTTGGGGAGGGGGGTAATGGGTGTCGTGCCACATACCTCTACACATGCTGTGGTGAACAGTCCAAGTGCGCTTGCAATGGTGACAATGTGGCCATGGTTCCTTGATTTCATTTGTGGCAAGAAGGCTTTTGTCATCTGTTCAGGATAGATAATTTTGTGATTAAAACTTTAAAAAATGTGGTGAGGAATCTCTTAAATGTCACCTAGTAATGCCAGGGGGCTAAAAGCCTACATGTTATGAATGCTGGCGTACCATAAATAATAAATTATGAGCAGTTTAGTTTGTGCCTTCAACTCGTTGCCCATAGGAAGACGTTTCTTGGATTACAAAACAGAATATCTTCAGAACAGCTCCAAATGGAACAAAACTAATATGGGTAAGTAGAACATGATGTAATAACTTAAAATCAAGGGGCTAATGTAAAAAAACAGTGTTCCCCTTTAAGGGGAATGTTCAAACTTAAGCATTTACATTTTTTAATATTAACAATTACCTGACAACTAAAGTGCTGTGGTTAATTATGCATATGAAAATACTAACATTAAAGTTGAAATATACAGAATTCATGCCCTTTTTAGAACTAAATTTGATGTTATATGGGGTAAAGAGAAAATTATGTGTCTATGCAAGTCATCTAGTCATAGATAAATAACTACTTTAACAATAACTTAGAAAATCCTTTTAATGTAGATATTAGTACGTATAAATATTAATACATTTTATGCAGAAAAAAAAATGTGATAAAATTAGGTAAGTAATAACAATGTTAAAGATGTTCACCCCAGAAGTTTTGTCCACTATACCTCTTATTTAGACATCATGATGTTTTAATATACGTGTCTTTGTTAGGAAAGGCTGTAGGAAAGTATAGTTTGTCTTTATTTAGATAATATGGAAGTTGTGCTCGTTCCTGTTGGAACAGTGTAGATTGACTGTGAGGTTCTGGCGCCTATCCGTTCTCAGCCACCCCTGAGTGTACATTGGTTATTGACTGGCCACCCCTAATAAAATTTTCTGGGTATGCCTCTGGTAACTGGGGTGCTGTGTTATCAGTTGCTTTCTGTCAGACATGTTTGATGAGGTGTTTTGCTATTGTGCAACACTGGACAGAAACCCCACATCTGCTAGTTGGAAAATGAGAGACAAATATAACTGCAGGCCAATGATGGAGGAACCTGATTTCCTGAACACTAACATCGGCTGATCAGCTCCATGCAGCATTTATGCAGCAATTCATTAGAAATAAGCCCCTTGCAGGTATTGGGTGCATACATGAAACAGCAGATAGGGACAAACTTTTTAGTATCTCAATTTTCTGTCTTGCAATTCATTGTATTGGATGGGGTGGAAGATCTTATGACTTATACATGCCTCACGGATCTGTAGACTGTATAAGCATCTCTTGTCTGTCTCACTCCATGCATTTTCCTGCCAAGCCACTATATATACGTATATGTATGCTCTCAATGGTGGTTCCAGGAACTTTTCAAAGAGTTGTTCAAGGCAGGGACCAATGGTCTCTGGAGAGTGGCTGAAAACTAAATGCACCTAAACCAACTCAGGGTCAAACCGGCTCTGGATCCTGCTCCTCTAGTTTTATATTTAGACTCTAATTCTGAAATTTGGAGCTTTACTGGCTATAAGACTAAAAGTAGAAAATTAAAACTATTATATAAATAAGTTAAAATAAATAAGTGACTCAAATAGTTAACTCCTTATGATTACATAAAAAAATCTTGAGTGAGTGAATCTATTAGACATCAGAAACAGCAATGGCTGTTTGGAGCTTAGGAAAAAAAAGTGATTTACACAGGTTCATATTTCTGATGTGAAAAACCCATTAGGCCTAATACTCCCCTCCTCTCCGTGCCTTCAGCTCTTATTTTCCCTTGACACAATCAGTTTGCTCTGTTAATTTAGTTAAAATTAGGAAATTGAGGAGTAAAATCACATGTTTAATGAATGACTTGGTAACCACCTTACTCTTTTGGGTATATGAAGCGAATTTTAATTGCAGCTTTCTGTTTATATATCAGGCAGAACCTAATTAATTGGACTTTATCTTAGAATCAGAACATGCTGTACTAACCCAGGCTGTACGCACTGCTCTGATCCCTTCACTCTAACGCTAAACTGAGCCACCAGTGAGACACTTACATAATCCATGTCAGGCTGTGTTTACTCTGAGTCAAGTTTCACAGTTTCACGCACAAAAGACGTAAGAAGGATTACCCAAAATAGCGCATGACAGTTGACCAGTAGAGTCCTCTCCAGAAGCTCGTCAGGACAGTCCAGCAGCCTCCGTCCGGCCACCACTCCAGCATTGTTGACCAGGATGGACACATCCCCGACCTCCGCTCTCACCCGCTCCGCTGCCTCATAGATGTTCTGGCGCTTGGACAGGTCCACGGTGTAGGTGCGCACATCCACACCCAGCTCCCGGGCCAGTTCTGCGGTCTGTTCGTTTGCACCTGTGTTGCAGTCCCACAAGACGAGGTGTGCCCCTTCTTTGGCAAACTCCAGGGCGAAAAGTCGACCCAGAACCCCCCCGGCTCCGGTGATCAGACACAGCTCCCCATCAACGCTCTTCAAGCGGGGATGGAGGAAGGCGCGCGTCACGGCGCACATGATAGAGTAGGTCACATCGATGAGAAACAGCAGCAAGTCCAAGATGAAGATCATGGTGATGGAGTTCAGTCTGGTCATGCAGCTGAAGTTTATAACCCCACAAAAAGCGGCTTTAGTTGTTTCTCTGCCTGACGTGGGGTTGGATGGATGGCCGCTTTATGTAACGTGTGTGCAGGATTAGAAGAGTGACTGTGGAAGGGCTTTTTGTCTGATGGCTGACTGTGTGCACATTCCTAACGCCATCAAACCATGAGACTGAAACGGATTAAGAAAGTGTGCCAAACAAAG